AAGCATTAACTCACACAATCACAAGGTGCCACAATAGGCAGTCTGCAAGCTGAGAAGCAAGGAAAGCCAGTCCAAGTCCCAAAACTGAAGAACTTAGAGTCTGATGTTCAAGGGCAGGAAAGGTCTAGCATGGGAGAAAGATGTAGGCTGGGAAGCTAGGCCAGTCAAGTCTTTTCACATTTTTCTGCCTGCTTTATATTCTAGCCATACTGGCAACTGATTAGATGGGGCCCAGGCAGATTAAGATTGGGTCTGCCTTTCCCAGCCCACTGATTCAAATGTAAAGCACCCTCACAGACATGCCCAGGATCGATACTTTGCATTCTTCAATCCAATCAAGTTGATAACATCACAGGGGGAATTCCTCCCTAAAACATTCTATGAAACCAGCATCATCTGATATCAAAATTTGGCGGAGATATGATGAAGAAATAGAACTTCAGGCTAATATCCCTGATGAGCATAGATGGAAAAATCTTCAATAAAATACAAGCAAACCAAATCCAGCAGCACATCAAAAGGTTAATTCACCATGACCAAACAGGCTTTATTCCTGGGATGCAAGCTTGGTTCAACATACATAAATCAATAAATGTAATTCAGCACATAAACAGAATTAAAAGCAAGGTGTGATCATCTTAATAGATGCAGAAAAGGTTTTCAAGAAAATCCAACATACCGTGATAAAAACCCTTGGCAGGCAAGGCATCAAGGAAACAGACTCAAAATTTTAAGAGCTCTCTATGTTAAATCCATATCCCAACATAATGAATGGACAAAAGCTGAAACCATTCTTCTTGAGAACCGGAACAAGGCAAGGATGCCCACTCTCACCATTCTATTCAACAAGGTACTGGAAGTCTTAGCCACAGCAATCAGACAACAAAAAGAAATAAAAGGCATCTAAATAGGAAAAGAAGTCAAACTAATTCTCTTTGCTGTTAATATGATTCTATGTTTAGAAAACCCTAAAGATTATGAAAAAGCTACTAGAACTAGTAAATATTTTTAGCAGTTTCAGAATACAAAGTCAGTAGCATTTCTATACACCAATAATGTACAATCTGAGAGCCAAATAAAGAACATGATCCCACTTACAATAGTGACAATAAAAATGAAATATGTAGGAACATAGTTAATCAAAGAGGTGAAGGATCTCTTCAAGGAGAACTACAAAACACTGCCAAAAGAAATCAGAGATGACAAAAATAAATGGAGAGATATACCATGCTCAGAGATAAGAAGAATCAATATCATCAAAATGGCCATAGCCCCCAAAGCAATCTATAGATTCAATGCTACTCCTATCAAATTACTAACATCATTTTTCACACGACTAGAAAAAACTAAAAACTATTCTAAAATTCGTATGTAACCAAAAAGGAGCTCAAATAGCCAACACAATCCCAAGCAAAGGAAAAAAGCTGGAGGCATCAACACATTACCTAACTTCAAACTACAAAGTTATAGTAACCAAAACAGCACAGTACTGGTACGAAAACAGACAGATGCATAGACCAAAATAACTGAACAGAAAACTCCGAAATAAAGTGGTACACTTACGATCATCTTATCTTCAACAAGGTTGACAAAAACATGCAATGGGGAAAGAAGTTCCTATTCAATAAGTGGTGTTGGGATAACTGGCTAGCCACAGACAACCTACAGAATGGAAGAAAATATTCACAAGCTATGCATCCAACAAGAGACTAATATCCAAAATCTATAGCAAAAAACAAATAACTTCATTAAACAATGGGCAAAAGACATGAAGAGACACTACTCAAAAGACAAGCAGGCAACAAACATGAAAACCTGTTCATCATCACTAATAATTAGAGACGTGCAAATCAAAAGCACAATTATATACCAACTCACACCAGTCAGAATAAGTATTATTAGAAAGTCAAAAAAAAAAAAAAAAAACAAGAGGCTAGTGAGGCTATGGAGAAATGGGAGCACTTATACAACATTGGTGGGAATGTAAATTACTTCAGCCACTGTGGAAAGCAGTTTGGAGATTTCTCAAAGAACTTAAAAATGAGCCACCATTTGACCCAGCAATCCTATTAGTGGGCATATACACAAAGGAAAATAGATCATTATACCAAAAGACATGTGCACTCATGTTCACTGCCATGGGCATTAGTCTGCTTTCATACCGCTAACAAAGACATACCCAAGATGGAGTAATTTATAAAGGAATGAGGCTTAATTGACTCATAACTCAGCATGGCTGGAGATGCTTCAGGAAACTTACAATCGTGGTAGAAGGGGAAGCAAACATGTCCTTCTCCACATGGCAGCAGGAAGGAGAAGTGCAGAGTGAAGTAGTGGGGAGAAGCCCCTTATAAAGCCACCAGATCTCATGAGAACTCACTCACTATCACAAGGATAGCAGTGTGGGGGTAACCGCCCCCACGATTCAATTACCTCCCACCAGATCCCTCCCATGACATGTGAGGATTATGGGAACTACAATTCAAGTGAAGATTTGGGTAGGGACACAGCCAAACCACAATCCCATGCTATTCACAACGGCAAAGACATGTAATCAACCTAGGTGCCTATCGATGGTGGACTGGACAAAAAAAATCTACATATACACCACTGAATACTACACAGTCATGAAAAGGAATGAAATCATGACCTTTGCAGAAACATGGATGGAGCTGGAGGCCATCATCCTAAGCGAATTCACACAGGAACATAAAACCAAATACTATATATTTTCATTTATAAGTGAGACTGAAAAACATCAAGCATACATGGACATAAGCATGGGAACCTTAGATGTTTCAGATTATTAGAGTGGTGAGGGAAGAAGCGGGGCCATTGGCTGAAAACTGCCTGTTAGGTACTATGCTCACTATCTGGGTGCAATATACCAATGTAACAATCCTTCACATGTGCCCCCTGTATTTAAAATAAAAGATGAATCTTTTTTTAAGAAAAAAAGAATGCAACAGGTAATATTACTACAGACCCTGTAGACCCTAAAAAGATAAGGCTATTCTTGCACAAATTTGTCATCTTAAATGAAACATACCATCTCCTCAAAAAAAACCCACAAACTACGATGACTCACCCAGTATGAGATAGATCATTTGAACAGCCCTGTAACTATTAAGAAAGTTGAATTTGTAATTTTAAAACTCCCCCAAAAGAAATCTTCAAGTCCAAATACTTTTACTGGAGAATTCTACTTCATGTTTAAAGAATAATTACCACCAGTTCAACACAAGATTTCCACAAAATCAGATGGGAAGGAAAATTTTCTGATTCACATTATGAAGCTAGTATATGCTGATACTAAAACCAGATGAAGACAGTACGAAAAAGAAAAACTACAGAAAAACCATCTTCATGAATATAGAGAAAAAAAATTTTAATGAACTAGTAGCAAATAGAGGTCATCAACATATAAAAGGAATTTCTCACTGTGCCAAGGAAGGTTTATTTCAGGAATGCAATTCTGATTTAATAATCCATAATCAGCCAATGTAATCTACCATATTAACAAGCCAAAAAGAAAATCACATGATTATCAATCAATGTAGACAGGCATCTGATACATTTCCACCACCATTCATGATAAAAATTCATGAAAAAGAGGAACAGAGAGGAACTTCCTCAACTTATGAGTATCTATAACATACCTACCAGTAACACTATACTTTACACTGAAAATTAAGCAAGAAGGTCAGCTCTCAGCACTCTGTTTAAACATAGTACTGGATGTTCTAGCAATAAGGCAAGAAAATGAAATAGGCATGCTGATCAGAAGTAAATGAAACTGCCGACATTTGATTATTTATAAGATGAAATTATTAGGTGAAATTATTTTGCCATAATTAAAAGTAATGCCAAAAACCACAATGACTGTTGCACCAATATAATATCATCTCCATAGAAATTCCCAAGGAATCTACCAAAAGCTCTTAAACTAATAAGCAAGGTTACAGGATATAGCTAAACATGTAAAAATCTATTAGTAGCAATGAACAGGAGGAAACTGAGATTAAAAATACAGTATCATTTAAAACCACGAATAAAGGAAATATGTGGAAATCTAACAAAACAAATTATATATTGAAAACTATATACAATTTTGATCAAAGAAACTGAGGTTCTAAATAAATAGAGACATATTGTGCCTTGTAACAGAAAACTCAATGTAGTAAAGATACCAGTTGTCTCCAATTAAATATACAGTTTTAACACAATTGCCATCAAATTTCCAACGAGATTTTTAATTGATATAAACAAGATTATTCTGAAATATGGAAATACCAAGGAGCTAGAACAGCTACAACAATTTTGCAAAAGAATAATAAAGTAGGAGGAACTAGTCTACCTGATTTAAGGGTTCAATACGTAGCTACGATAATCAAGCCTGTAGAATTGGTGAAAAGACTGACACATAGATCAGTGGAACCGAATACAGAACCCAGAAATATCCACACAAAGATGCCCAAGTGATCTTGACAAAGATCAAAGCAATTCAGTTGAAGAGAGACAATCTTTTCAACAAATGATACCACAGTAAATGAAGAGGCAAGCTATACACAAGGAAAAAACATTTCCAAACCACGTATCTGACACAGCACTAATATACAGAATATGTAAAGAACTCTCAAAATTCAACAGTAAAGCAAACGATCCTATTGAAACACAGGCAAAAGGAGACATGACACCAAACAAGATATACATATGGCAAATAAATACATAAAAGATGTGCTTCTTAACTGACACTACGCTGTGCTAACCCATACCAGACCCACGAAACACATGCGTACATGTGCAAACACACACACACACAGATTAACTGCAGGGGTGTGAAGACCTTGAGGTTTATGTCTCCTCTTTAACCCCCACAGCGTCTCCACGTTGTCTGTGTTATAGTGAAGAAAATAGCGTTATCTAACAGGTCCCTCAGTCACTCTCCATTTCATGTTAATGAGAGAAAGTAGGATCACACGCAACGAAGAAATACAAACCAGCATCTCCTTCAAGCTCTCTTTTCTTCACCCGTTTAATCTTCTTTTTTAGAACCTTCATGAGGAAGTTTGCAAATTTATTGTTCTCTCCAATGGCTGTTTGAAAACCAGCGTAGAGCGCTTTTTCTTCCTCCTGCAGTTTGGTGATTTCATTCTTTTTCTCTTCCATCTCTCTAAGAGTTTCGTTTATTTTCCACTAAATGAATAAAAACAATGACAAATGATAAATATTTCTGATAAACCAAGTTCAGAGAGCAATGTGCTTTACAATGCAAGGTTACAGTTAACAAAACGTTTTTTTAAAACTTCTTAAAAGAAGTTTGCATTTCTGGCCGGTCATGGTGGCTCACGCCTGTAATCCCAGCACTTTGGGAGGCCAAGGCAGGCGGATCATGAGGTCAGGAGATCGAGACCATCTTGTCAGCAAGGTGAAACCCTGTCTCTACTAAAAATACAAAAATTAGCTGGGTGTGGTGGCGCATGTCTGTAGTCCCATCTACTAGGGAGGCTGAGGCAGGAGAACTGCTTGAACCCGGGAGGCGGAGGTTGCGGTGACCAAGATCACACCATTGCACTGCAGCCTGGCAAGAGCAAGACTCCGTCTCAAAAAAAAAAAGAAGTTTATGTTTCTGATGTTTGCAGAGCCATCCGTTTATTGGCTAGAATTTTATAATTCCTTTGTAAAAACCAGTTAAGTTCAGAATTAGAAAGATAAGCTTTTTAGTGCTAAGCTTTCCTCCAAGATCTAAATTAAATTTAAGTTTTTTGTGATATGTGGATGTCAGCTAATATTTTTGCGTGTGTAGTCTCAGAAACAAAAGATTTTGTACTGACATATAACTAAAACAAAGATACATGTAATTCCTATTGAAGCTAATATGCCTTAAAAAGAATGTTATTATTTAGCATATAGTATCTATTTAATAGCTTTGTTTCATTCTTTTAAAACAAAGCTAGTATAATTTAAATGTAATATATAACAAATAAAGGAACCTCGTTTCTTATGATATTCAATCATATGTTACACTGAAGCTATCGTACTTACAACACTCGCCAGCTTCTTTTTCAGTTATTTTCATAAGGGTAACATGTAATCGAAACACAATTTTATATCATAGCTTTCTTTTTTTTTTTTTTTAAGGGATTCCAGCCCACCAGGCTGGAGTAGAGTGGCACGACCAAAGGCTCACTTTTTAAATTTTTATTCTATTTTACAGAATATCAGACCCAATTCAATAAAAAATCTGAATCATTTCTCTTTGACCATGAATACTAAAGACGGAGAGTAGGTAAGAATAACAGGAAAAAGGTGGGGGGGAAGAAGACCAGAAAGAGATGAGGGCTAGAAAAAGGGGGAAATTGAGTCAAGAAGAAAAAGAAATCAAGGTTTTCCATAACCAAGGGAGTAGCCAGCTAAATGTCTTCTTCCCATTCCTACTTGCATGTACTGTTCCTCTTTGTCTAAGGAGTTAACACGCTCTTGAAGTATGTTCTCTTGCTTTTCAAAATTCTTCAGGAGAAGCATTTCTTGAAATAAGGTGATGTGGTGCAGGTCGGATAACTTCATCTGAGTATCTAGTTTCAGTTTGTCATGTCTAAGGAGACGGAGTTCTGCATCAAACGTGACAATCAGTTCTTTGATCTGAGATGGAAAAAAGATTTGAGGATATATTAGAAGGCTTAGATAAATGCATTTTTAAACTCACAGTACTAAAATGAAATCATTTTTTGTTATGGCCTCATGGATGGAGAAGTGTGTGTGTATGTAGTCACACAAATAAATTCATTAATCACATTAAATTTACATAAATTAATTTATTAAGTGGTAGGAATTCTGTAACTATAGTCCTTCCAGCCATTTCTTCACCACTGACTACGCCATCCACCAAGAATGCCCCTCTTGCTGTAGTGTAGCTTATGAGCTCTCCGAACGCGTAGTGTTTCTGTCTCCTCTTCATTCTCCACAGCATCTCGACAATCCCTTTTATATAGTGAGCAAAAATAAACATGTTTCTCAACTTATGTTGAAAATTGTCAAACCTACAGAATGGTAGATATTGTGAAACACATAAAATAATCATGGAGCCACAAAAAACCTTTTTATAAGATTGTAGTGATTAAGGTCGAAGGCAGTTTTCCTGATAAGAACTTAAGAATCCCAAGTCCTGGTCCAGACCTTATTCATTCCGGTCCTACCAATTTTAATCCTTGGTTTTGTTCTGATTTTGGTACAACGGAGATGAAGAGGCCAAGAGAGAGCCCCAAGGACTGCTTCTCCTGAGGAAACTAGGACAACAGGAAGAGACAAACCATTCTGTACTTTTCATTAGTTTGTATATGATAGGTGGCCTCGACTGCCGAAAGCCTGTAGTAAGTGAGGCCCAGGACTGGGGCTGAGGACAGAAAGACATCTGTGGGTTTGGAGGAGTGAAACAACTAGAGAAATTTAAAGAGCTGGAGGAAAAAGAAACACAGAGAAAGAAGAAAAAACTCAACTTTTATGTAACTATGGCTACAGACTGTATGTTTGGGCTCCCCTTTAAAGCTTGTTTAATAAACGTGAATTATTCCTGAATTGACTTAGAGGCAGGCCTGTATTTTCTTCAGTAACCCCATTCTCAAACTAAACCGCACAGGTCTCCAGGCCTGTGAGGGTCACACTTGCTTTTTCTCTCTAACCCCAATAGCCCGTAAGCTTTGTGAGGACTGAGAACATGTCCTTCAGTATTGTTGTAACCCTAATCCCATCTATCACTGTCACTTCACATAGAACACCCAAAAATATGTGTAAAATTAATAAGTCAGCTACAATTAAATCAATCAAAATCTTTGACTGAATATCTGTGATATGTTTGACACTGTGCTGGACGGTATGGAGGAATCAGAAGTCTAGGTGGCCTGTACCTCAGCTCTGGAAGGAGGTCACTGCAGGCAGAAGGGAAGAGCCAAGGAAAAAGCACAGACAGAAACCTCAGAAAGGTGTGGGAAGAAAAGGGGAAGTGGAGAGAGGCAAGAATGGGGAGAAACAGGACTGGACAAAGAAGAGATAACGGTGGAGATGATGGCTGGGAAGCTATTGATGCTGTCGTTGCAGGGTGGAGCCGGAAAGACACCGAGGAAGGGGACTCCGCATGGTGGCAGCAGAGTTCTCCATCCAGGAAAGGTTCTTTCACGATCAAAGAACATCCCGCCCAACAGGCCCTAGTCTACTCCTGATTTTCCTAGAAATAAAAACACTTGCCATTCCAGCTCCAGAACAATCTCAACCCCAGTGATCACCATAAACGCTTCTACTAATGGAACAAACCACATAGTGGAGACAAACGATGGTGTGAAAAGCAGACGGTGCCCTGTTTCTCTGGAAGACCTTTAACTGCGCTCCATCGATCATCTAAAAGCTGCCCCTCCACTTCCCCTTTACGATGACTTCAGTTAGATGCCAAGTAACTAAAACATGGGCTGGCCCTTCACTCTTGCTCAGCTTTCCAAAACAAAACAAAACAAGTTTGAAAGCGCTGTAATTCTGGGAAGAGCACAATGATTTCCAGAAGGCCAAGGATGGGGAAGAAGCCAAGCCATCACTGAGTGGTGAGCTGGTCAGGGCTGGGGAAAGATTCATGCAGAGAAATTTAAAATAAATGAACAAAAAAACCAGACCCAGTTTTTCCCCTTCTCTTCTCTGTTTCAGCTATAACTAGGAACACCCCTTACCCGGTTGACCAAATACTGTTGCATGTACACATGTTTAATCTCATCCCTCTTCAGAATTTCCAGCTCCACATCAGTTGGCTCTGCCTTTTCAAATTCCATAAACTTTGGTGTATCTAGGCCGAACGTAGATGCCCTTGATGACCTAGATATGGAATCTCGGGTTGTCAAATCCCCATTCTTTCCAGAAGAGAGCTTGAGGAATCCTCCACCTGGGCCTCCAGACCCTGTCTGTTCCACTTGGGGGGACTTTCCATCCATACTTTTCATACGCTGCTGCTCAAAATTTAGGAGAGTTTCTTCATCATACTGAAATCTCTTTTCTGGAACTTCTTCTGGGTGTATCTGAGGAACTTTGGGAATGGGTATGTGCTTGGATGCGTGAAGAGTCGACTGAATGTGCTTCAGTTCTTGTACCAGGCACTGTATTTCCTCTACAACAGCCACTTTAAAGTCTCTAAGAGAGAGGATGCACTTGTTCATATGCCTTTTCTTTCCATGGACCTGAAAAAAACAAGAGGAAGGAAACAACGGTACAACCCTCTGACAAATAATTGTGTGGAATACGATCTGCTCTTTTTCCTTGCCTAAAGACCTAGCGAAAATTCAAGATAAAAATTCATCTGATCATACCTTTTTACCACCAAGGTGCCCTTTTCTTTAATATTTAGGCTTTTTTCCATTTAGCCCCTCCAAGATGGCAGGACAGTCCAGATGTGACCTCTGGTATCTCTTGGCTTCCCACAGTTTGTTCCCTCCAGCTGGCTCGTGTGGCTGAGTTCCCTCCATCACTACGTGGAAGTCCTTCCTGGAGCCTTAGTCTAGCTGGATACTCTCTCCAGGGAGGAAGGGAAAGGCCCTTAATGCATTTCCCTGCTGGAACTTTGAATCCCTTTGGCTTAGACTCACTTAGGGCTGCCCAGGCCCAAAGTACAGCTCAGCCTATGTTCATTCTGCATTTTGGCCCACAGGATTGTTACTCCTTGTATAGGAAAGGCCATGATTCTGAATGTCAGTGCATGTAACACCAAGAGACTGCAGGATCTTTCCTTCATTCCCTCTCCATTTATGTAAGCCAAGCTGTGCCTCTGCTTCCAGGCACAGGTGCCATACACTCTCGTTGCTCTTTCATTACCAGCTCTCTCCCTGGTCTGTGTTTTCTAAATGCCATTCCCAGAGCCTGAGAGCGCACGCAACCCACCTCCTGCGTGCAGTAAGGCTACTAGATTGTCCAAAGGCCATGAAGAGTTACTTTGCATGTACAGTTTTTTAAAGATCAAAAGTCACTCTTTCAAGTAGTCTTACAAAAGCGACATATGTATTTACTTTCTGCAAAGCAGAAAACTGTAATAACATAGAGGACATATTCTGCATACTTGAAAATAAACCGTTAAAGCAATAAGGTTTAAACTCGAAAGCCAGCAGTTGGGTGAATGGACAACGACCTCTGAAGTATCTGAAGGACTGCAGATTAGCCCAAGAAGAACAAACCCACATCACGGATGGCTTTAGGGCCTATCTCTCGAAGGAACCTCTTTACACAGCAACTCTTTCTAGTTTTTCACATACCACACAAACCTAAACACTGGCTGAAAAAAAAAGACAGATAATACACTATTTAAAAAATATTCAATACTCTCCAATGATTTTCAATTTGACCATAACAATAAAGACCATTTATGGATTTTGACCATTAAATTAACCCTATGCGTACTAGACATGGTATTAATACTCTTTCTACAGATGAAATCAATGGCTTAGGGAGATTTATGTGACTTAGCAAAGTTCACATGGCTATTAAGTGGCAGAGATGGAAACAGAGCTCCAATCTTCTGACTTGTAGAACAAGGTGTTCTAAGTGATTTTATTTTAATAAAGCAAATTTCAGTGTAATGTAGTTAAGTTGAAAACATCACACCTGCCCACCTCCTCTAGCTAGAGTGTGAAATTTCAGGTTGGATAAATTGTGGTCTTAAGAACATTTCTCTATGATGATTGATGTAACATGATAAATAAAAATTACCTTGGAAGAACTAGGAAAACAATCCAAATGGCCATGACTAAAATGTCCAAATTGTCCATCTTGATGAGAAACACACAGTTAGGAGCTATGAAAATGTATCTGTGGATATGAATTGCCAGGCCAGGACCCTCGTGCTGCTGGGATGTAACTCTTTGGTGAAACAGAAGACACCTCTTCCTCAGGACACTTCCTTTGCATTTGTCAGAAAATTATAAAAATATTCAAAAATACTGTTAATCTATCTGCGATATGATCGGCACCCTCTCCAAGGTGATGCCTTGAAATGTGCAACCTCCGCAACCGTATTAGGTTGCTGTGTATCTAGTTCTCCTAAAAGGTAGTAGCTCAGATAACCTCTAAGCTTTTAAGCATAAAGAGTCACTTGTCAGTTCAAGTGGTGATTAAGGAATTAATAAAGCAGAAAGAGGAACTTTCATAAGAAAATGGGGATCAGACATCAGGGTGATAGAAAGTGGTTTGGAGGAATGCAGAGAAAATAACAAAGAAATAAATTAGCACTGAGTTGCCTAGAACAGTTTCGAAGTCCTACAAAAAGAGGCTCAACAATGACCTTTTCTCTCTCTCTTTTTTTAAATTGTACTTTAGATTCTGGGGTACATGTGCAGATCATGCAGGATTGTTGCATAAGTACATATAAGGCAAGGTGGTTTGCTGCCTCCATTCCCCCATCACTTATATCTGGTATTTCTCCCCTTGTTATCCCTCCCCATCTCCTGCTGTCCCTCCCTTAGCCCCCCGCAACAGACCCCAGTGTGTGATGCTCCTCTCCCTGTGTCCACGTGTTCTCATTGTTCAACACCCGCCTATGAGTGAGAACATGCAGTGTTTTGTTTTCTGTTCCTGTGTCAGTTTACTGAGAATGATGGTTTCCAGGTTCATCCTTGTCCCTATGAAGGACACAAACTCATCGGTTTTTATGGCTGCGTAGTATTCCATGGTGTATATGTGCCACATTTTATTTATCCAGTCTATCATTGATGGACATTTGGGTTGGTTCCAGGTCTTTGCTATTGTAAGTGCCGCAAAGAACATACACTTGCATGTGTCTTTACAACAGAACAATTTATAATTCTTTGGGTATATACTCAGTAATGGGATTGCTGGGTCAAATGGAATTTCTATTCCTAGGTTCTTGAGGAATCTCCACACTGTCTTCCACAATGGTTGAACTAATTTACACTCCCACCAACAGCATAAAAGTGTTCCTGTTTCTCCACATCCTCTCCAGCTTCTGTTGTCTCCGGATTTTTAAATAATTGAACAATGGCCTTTTCAATCTAAGTCCTTGGTTGTCCATGTCAACCAAAAACTAAACCCAATGAGGATTTGTCTGAATTTCAGAGGTTCAAAGTCCACAAAATATAATCCTTACCCATGAAACTGGTATTGAAACATGGTATTTTAAGAAAAGCTCAAAGACAGAGTCTTCTAAGAAATGCTAACTCAACAAAGATGTATTAATCCTTCTAATAAGGCCACAGCAAACAAGAGAGAGATACATTCCTCAAACTCTGACCTAGATTCCCAGATATCCTTGATGACCCTGCCACACCTGTCAGGTGGTACCCATCTGTGACCCTCGGATACACTGTAAGTGTCCACAGCTGGTTCTTTCATATTAGCTAACTAACCATGGACAAATCTCTTGTCCTCTGTGGGCCTCAGTTTGCTCACTTGTAAAAAGAGGACATTCTAGATAATCATGATAGTCATTTCCAGTTCTTAATTTCTATGGTTAGATATTCTTATTGACCAGCTAAGGAAATGAGTGGTTTGGGCAGAATTTAATTAAAAACCGAGGGTACTTTCTCCATGGTCATAGAATCTGTAGATAAGTACCAAAGAATCTAGGTGTCCCAGTTCCTCTTCCTTCTTGGCAGCATTTATTCTCATGTGCTCAGGTATCTTGTAGTCTGGGGCTGTCTTCAGATTGAAATCTCCCATACACACCTGGGCTTCTTTGATGGCTTCAAGGTCTTTGGGATCTTCATAGCCATCATCAGGTTTGCTCTTGTATCTATTAGAAAAATAGACAACCCAGACACAAATATGACAATAAACTCTAATTTGTCTACTTTAGGCATATACTCAAATTTAATCATGAAACAAAAGTATAATTTCAAATCTATAATGCTACTTTTGTCACAGAGCCCAAGCAGTTTTTAAAATTCAATTACTACTTTTAAAGTGTCCCAAGCAAAATAATATACACGTATATAAATAGGAACCAGTCACTAGATTGTACTGAAATAATCTGAATTACTGTTAGGCTTTGGTTTACTTCTGTGTAATTCGTATGAACATTGTTATTTATTCTCTTGATATAAATTAAGCTTTGTAAATTAGGTGGGCTTTTAATGACTGAAAAGTCAATTGAACCTTTTTATTGCATATGCTCGCTGTACATTTTCGGAAAAGGTATCTAGTTGAAGATGATAGCATGAACATACATATTTGCCTCTCCCTCCGTCCCCAAATTCCCTGAAAAGGACAGTACAGAAGTATAAAAAGTTGTAAATTATCAGGAAAGCTAAGAATGGAATAGAAAGTAAATCAGTGACACTGAGCCAGTTCTGGAAGACAGGAAGAAGATCAAATTACATTAATGAATAAACCAGATCAAACTGTAGCCCTGAATACCCACAAGTTAAGCAACAAAAGGGACTGAATATTATCTTCTTGGTGACGTGCCTGGAATGCTCCAAGCACAAAGAGAGCAGGTAGAGGGAGTGGAACGGAATGCTAGATACATTTGGCAAAATTAATTAAAGGATTGAAAAAAAAAATGCTTAAACCAGTTGGGCCCTCCCAGACGTTCCCACCTGCACACACAAAACAGTGGCAATCTGTATATCCAAACTAAAATTAAAGAACTACTCTCTACAGACACTGAACTCTTTGCCTGGGAAGTACTAAGGTGTCTAAGGGTTTGGGCTACCAGCTCACACCCTTAGACACCTTGGAACTCATAAAAGGCCTTAATTGGGAGGTCCCAACATACCTGTGTACGTTTTTAAAGTGAAGTCTGCTAGACAACGTGAGCATGTACACATCGTAGTCAGCCCTTTCTTTTAAGAGAAAGTTCTTTTAAGGAAACGGACATGCAAAAGTCCAGAGGAAACCCATCATCTATTATATTAAATGACAGCCATTTATTTGTGTAAAACTGCACTAAAATGAAGGATTAATATTTTTAAAGGAAAGGAGAAAGGGAGAAAGGAAAGGAAATAAACAAAAAGGAAGGGAAGAGAAGAGAAGAGCTACTTCTGCTTCTGGCCATGTGAGAGGAACAGGGGCCATTATTATCCTCATATGATATAAACAATCAAAAAACTGAACAAAAAATATGTGAAACAACTATGTTTAGACATTGAACATAAACAGCATAAAACAGTAATTCTTTAGAAAAGGAGAAAGATGTGATCCTTATTATCTCCTGGCTGCTGCATGGAGGAAATTACCAGCCTATAGAGTGGGATCAGGATCCCAAATACAGCCCAGTGAACTCGCTGACTGAGGAGGCAGAGATTAGAGTACAGGAAGGCCAAATTTGGTACCAAGAATTGTGGAAAAGAATATCAGCACTACACAAAGAAACGCCTCTGGAAATCTACATAGGGCCTGAACTTTTGGGCTGAGTATTAATCTGTACATGTGCAATGTGAACCACCATGAAGCTGGGCAAAGAACTTCTAGGAAAAGTACAATGACTGGGAAACTGTAGAACAAATAATTCTCATAGTTTCCACATAGCTAGGAACCACTCATAGTCCCACCAACCGGAGAGAGCTTGTTGAATACAGGGGACATTCAAGAACAACCGTTAAAAACTTGTGCCTTCAAAGAGAGAGAGACATAGAAGATATGAAAAACATTATCAAACATCTTGTCTAAATTGACATTTATAGAACACTACACCGAGCAACGCAAGAGAGTATATCCTTTTCAAGCGCACACTGAACTTTTACGTAGACAGACTGTATGTGCAGGGCCATAACACAGTTCTCAATACATCTTTAAAAACTTACACAGACTATTTTCTATGATCACAAACAACTGGATTAGAAATCTAACAGGGAAACATTTTTGAAACCACAAATCTTTGGAAACTAAGCTGCAAGTCAAGGAAGTAATCACAAGGATATTAGAAATACTTTGGACTAAGTGATAATAAGTATCTACCATATGAAAATGTGTAATGCAGCTAACTTGATGCTTAGGAGGAAATAAATACTCTAAATGTTTATATTAGAAAAGAAGAAGGACATAGAATCAAAGCTTATATACAAGTTTACACATCAAGAAGCAAGAAAGTAAAAGCTAATTAAACCTAAGTTAATTAGAAGGTAAGAAATTATAAAAAGAATAGTAAAATGACAGAGAAAATAGACCAAACAATATATTAAAATCTATGCCCAAAAGCTAGTTATTTGAAAAGATTGATAATGTGGGTAAATCACTAGCTGGAATGATTAAGAAAAAGAGAGAATTAACAACAAAAAAATTAAAAATAACAATAAAACAGAGGACATTAAAACAGATACTACAGAAATTAAAATAAGAAGAGAATAATATAAACCGCTTTATGCCAATAAAATTGACAACTTAGATAAAATGCACAAATTCCTTCAAAGACACAAATTATAAAAACTGACTCAAGAAGAAACCGAACATTTGTATAGCACTGTAACACTCAAAATTTTAAATTTATATTTAAAAGTATCCCTCAAAGAATACTTCCTATGGATTCATTGAGAAATTCCTTAGCAAAGCAGAAGAAATCAGAAATCTAAAAAATAGAATGAAAGAAAACAAAAATAGAATACAGATGTAAGCCCTAAATATAAATAAGTACATAAATACAAATGGCCTGAATACACCACTGAATGACAGAAATGGGCAGTGTGGATTTAAAAACGAAAGTGTACGTTGTCTAGTGAAGTTAGTGAAGACACTAACTTCAAATATAAAAGTATAGGTAGGTTGAGTTAAAGGCTGGAAACAGATCATTTAAACACTGAATGCTTTCCCTCTAAGACAAGAAACAAAGAGGGGATGCCAGTTCTTCCCACTCTATTTCAATACAGTACTGGCAGTTCTAGCCAGTCCAATAAGAAAAGGAAATAAGCTGCATACAGATTAGAAATAAAACTGTCCCTGCTTCCAAGTGACATAACTGTCTACACATAAAATATCAAGAAACCTACTAAAACAAAAATTCTTAGAACTGAGGCAGTTCAGAAAGGTCACCGGATACTAGATAAACATACAAAAATCAGTTGTATTTCTATACTAGCAGCAGTGAATGTGAACAGAGAGACACCAGTCTTAAAAACACAATACCATTTAAAATTGCTAAAAAAAAGAAATACTTATGTGCAAACCTAATAAAATATGTATAGAACTTTTATGCTGAAAACAGAAAAACACTGATGAAAGAAATCCAACATCTAAATAAATGGAAAGTCATACTATGCCCATGGATTAGAAGACTCAACACAATGAGGATACCAGTTCTCCACAAAGGAATACACTGCTGTACATGGTTCTTATTGAAATTATGGCAAATTATCTGAAATTCATATGGAAAAACAAAGTAATTAGAATGTCTAAAATAATTTTGAAAGAGAATAAAATGAGAGGAATCACTCTACTGGATTTCAAGGTCTATTATATAGATATAGGAATCAGGACAGTGTAGTGTTGGTAAAGAACAGATAGAGAGATCAATGGACTTGAAAGTGAACCGGGAAATAGACTCACATAAACACGTCCAGATGATTTCTGACAAAGAGGCAAAATAAAGTCAGAGGAGGAAATGTCTTTTCAACAAAAATGCTAGAGTGATTGGACATCCATAAGACAAAAAAAAAACAAATCTCAACCTGAGTCTGATACCTGGTTTAAAGATTAGCTTAAGTATAAAATGAAAAAACTACAAAATGTTAAGACGAAAATAAGATACAGTATTTAGGACCTAGGGCTAGGCAGAGTTCTTAGCCTCGACACCAAAATCAGGATTTATATAAGGAAAATTTGATAAATTGAACATCAACTAAATTAAAAACTGTTGCTCTATGAAAAACTCTGTTAGGGGAGGCCGAGTGCGGTGGCTCACATCTGTAACCCCAGGACTTTGGGAGGCCAGGGTGGCTCACATCTGTAACCCCAGGACTTTGGGAGGCCAGGGTAGCTCACATCTGTAACCCCAGGACTTTGGGAGGCCAGGGTGGCTCACATCTGTAACCCCAGGACTTTGGGAGGCCAAGTGTGGTGGCTCACAGCTGTAACCCCAGGACTTTGAGAGGCAAGATCACTTGAGGTCAGGAATTCCAAACCAGCCTGACCAACAAGATGAAACCCTGTCTCTACTTTTAAAAATACAAAAGTTAGCAGGGAATGATGGCACATGCTTGTAATCCCAGCTATGAGGGAGGATCATTTGAACCTGGAAGGTGGAGTTTGCAGTGAGCCAAGATACTTCACTGCACTCTAGCCTGGGCAAAAGCATGAGACTCTGCCTCAAAAAAAAAAAAAAGAACAAACTCTGTGAAGGGAATGAAAAGACAAGTTACAGACTAAGAGAAAGTATTTATAAACTGTATATCCAACACAAGGACTAGTATCTAGAATATATAAAGAAGTCTAAAATCTCAACAGTAAAAGAGCAAACAATCCTATTCAAACATGAGCAAAAGACATGAAGAGTCACGTCACCAAAAATATACAGATGGCAAATAAACCAATGAAAACATGTGATTGTCAAGTGAAACTACCTCATACCAGATTTCCATGAAATCCCCAAATCTCTCTGCTGCTTGCAAGCAGCAGAGAGATTTGTCCATCGGGGTCTGATTGAAAAGGTAACATCTCTCTCCAGGAGAGTTCAAATATTTTGGTGGAATTCTGGAAAGCCTCTCAGGGTCATATGAAGAGTTCCCAAGATCCCTCTTAATTTAAGTACTGTAGGGAGAAGGGGACCTGGGCCTTACTGGGCCCAAATTCACTGGGCATCTGCTGGAGGGGCAAGAGTAAGACTGGGGCTTGTTTAGGGCAAGAATTTCTAGGAGGGGGCAAGTGGGAGGCTGATGCTGGATAAGGGGGGCAGGGTAGATCTGGAGGAGCAAGGCTGGAGAGACGTGACTCTTCTGCTGGGGGTGCCCCGTATCTTTCATTCCCTGGGCTTACCCCTTGCGGCCTTCCCTGAGATGGCCAACAGGAGCGCTGGATCAATCGACCCTACAGTGTTAGCAACAGTCTGGATTGCCTGGCAAGCTACAGAAAGCCTGAACATGTCGAGCCTCAGACCAACTGTCCTCACATCTACAGAAAAATTCCAACTGCTGAATGGTATCAAAATGAATAGCTCCTTCCTGGGGTCAAGTCAGTCCTTCCTGTAAATCATAATTTGGCCAAACCTTTGTGCAGAGGGATATAAGGGGTCACATTCTGAGGGCCAAAGTAGTCCCAATGGTTCAGGATATACTCCAGAGGAGTGCAAGCTGGGGATGACAGAGAGAACTTATTGTCCATTCTGAAAGACAGGGAAGAGAGGTGTCCCTCATTCCCTTCCTTCTTTCAGTGAAAATTCAGGGCGTGATGGAGAGAGAAAGAGTGCATCCTCCTCTCCCTTTCCACCGTTTATCCTTCAGCTGGCCTAGGTACCACTGCAGTATATACCCAGGAAGCAGGGGACACCTGGAGAATAGGAATTAACCCCCCTCACCTATGCCTCCATTTCTCCCTGCTGTCAGCAAACTGAATTCCCTGGGCCTGTTTATGCCATGAAGCTTCTTTCCGTGGGGTAGGAAGCTTAGCAGGAACTGGTGCTTTACATTGTGCCTGGTGCCTGGCTTTGGATCCCTCAGACCTGGTTTTTCTTTCTAGGGACTCAGATGAAAGTTTGCAATCGAGGTTGGGACTGAAAAAGTATTTCAGAGGCTGTATCTACTTAGAGTGCCTCAAATGTGCAGTTCTCAGCCAGCAGGGGCCATTCCTGTTAACTTTCTTATCAGAAACAGAGCGGGGTGTGCGGGGGGCAGGGGGTGGGGGAGCCCTTTCACTTAGAAAAAAGAAAAACAGTTCAAGGGGCAAAAAGGGAAGACATTCTGGGGGAAAACCCCCTTGCTTAGTGCAACTGGGCCTTTCTAATCCTTATAACTTTCCCTCAGTTCAGACTAGGTTGAATTCCTTGGCCAGGGGAGGAGAGGTTCCATTTGTATGGTGGGCAAGAAGCACTTGTCTGTTGACCCTGTGGGGTTGCGGCTACTGTCATGGCTTTCTCCCACCTGCTTGTGACTGTTGGGCTTGGCCCTTGCCTGCTGCAGGCATGCCCAGGCACCCGAGCCGGGAGGAAAAAGGGTAAGGAGAGGTACCCTGAGCCGTGCATGCCTGCAGCTGTCGGGTTGGAGGCATACGTGGCACCTCTAGGAACAGCTGGTCTGATGTGCACCTTCGGTAGCTGAGCCTAATGCTCATTAATAACATTTCCACAGCCTGTAGCAAAACTAACATTATAAAGAAAGACCTAAGTGTCATTTCAAAGACAGAAAAGAGACAAAGTCTGAGGGTTTTGACTTCCCACTTAGGGTGGGGTTTTTAAAACTCAGAGAAGGAAAACAGACCATCTCACCTGCAGGGTTTTAGAAGAGAGGCAGACCCAAAAGTTTGGCATTCACCCACCCTCACCTTCTGCAATCCCGGACGAGCCCCCAGTTGAAATGGGAAAGATTCCCTTGTCCCCCTCAAAGGGTATGCGATAGGGGTGCCCCACTGCTCAAACCGCTAGGGGAGCATACAAACGGGCAGGCTGTGGGACTCCAACCCCAGGCAGTTTCTAGGCATGAATGTTTACAGCTGAAGCCCCAACGGCATGTGTTACAGGGTCTCTCTTGTGTGCTGTCTAATGGCAGCCTGTGTTAGCCAGCTCAGTTAGACCCCCTTCCTTATCACAAGGACACAAGGATTTCTGTATCCCGGGGTTTCTTGCCTTGGTGTACCAGAAGAATCAGATCACCTGTGGCCTTGGAGAATGAATGCAAATTTTTATTGAGTGGAAGTAGCTTTCCCCAGTGGGAGAGCCAGAAGGGTTTTTCCCTGGAATTGGGCCACTCGGCAGCCCCAGCCCAACTGTGCCGCCAAACTCTGCCTCATCCCACTGGTCACCGGCACCTGTTGATGCCTGTCAGCCTGCTCTTTCTCCTGCATGCTCTCCATAACTGGTTGCTTGTGTCTTCTTCAACCAATGTGTGCCTCATGACATCCAGCCACTTCTGTGTCTGCCGCTAGGGTCTCAGGTGTTTATATACCCAGGATGGGGACATGGCAGGCCAGTGCGGTCTTGGGAAATGCAACATTTGGGCAGGAAATGCCTGTCCTCACCTAGGTCCCTGGAGGTAGAGCCCTAGCCAGGGACCATGCCTTTCTCTACCCAGCACTTCCCTTCCCCGCTTCCATATCATTTAAAGGGACCACACCCTTCCCTTTCATAACAATACTAGACTTTTTTTTTTTTTTTGAGAAAGAAGTTAACCTCAGGTGATTAATGATAAAAAGTCAAAATATAAGATATTAGAAGAACATACAGGAGAATATGTTTATCATTTTGAGATAGAAAAGCATTTCTTAATTCTTAAAAATCATTCTGATTATACTCTGTTTCTTTTTTTTTTTTTACTTTCGCATTTAAATGATGTGAATAAATATAAAGATTTTTAAGATATATTATTTTGGGGCTCGAATATTAAAACGATTAGAGTTTAGGTAAAAAGCTCACAGTTCCTCCCATTCTTTTTTTCGCTGTTGAATCTTCAGTTGTGCTCTTTCAGCTTTTAACATAAGTTTTCTCGTTCTCTCAATTTGATTTTTCACCATAATTTCACTTAGGGTTTTAGGCCGAAATTTCTTCCCTTTTTCTATTACTGATTCTTCTTGTGCAAGAACACTCTCACCTATATGGAGAATCAACATTTTTTAGTCATTTTCAGACATAAAAACAATACTCGCAAATATTGTTTTTAATGTGCCAAATAAAAAAAATGCAGAATATGTTGAATTTGTAAATCAAAGTATTTATTGAACACCAGGTGCAGTGGTTCACACCTGTAATCCCAGGACTTTGGGAGGCTGAAGCGGGCAGATCACTTGAGGTCAGGAGTTTCAGACCAGCCTGGGCAACATGGTGAAACCCCATCTCTACCAAAAATACAAAAATTAGCCAGCCGTTGTGGTGTGTTCCTGTAATTCCAGCTACTGAGAGGCTGAGGCAAGAGATTTGCTTGAACCCAGGAGGTGGAGGCTGCAGTGAGCTGAAATCTCACCACTGCATTCCAGCCTGGGAAACAGAGCAAGATTCCATCTCAAAAACAAAAACAAAGAAGTATTTATTGACCAACTCCTATGAATTCAACCCCATAATAAGTACTGTGAAATGCCAAAATAAAAAGGTCTAAGTCACATTTTTTGCTTTTAAGAACCTTATTAAAAGTTGGCAAGATAAGACATATATTAAACAATTAGAAAACAAGATAAATGATGGTGAACCGCTAACGTGTTGGGAAGGAGTGTTTGTGACGTGATGGTGGGAAAAGGAGAAAATCGAGTCCAATTTGATACGTACGATTTGAGGTGGTACATGCCAACTGAAGTGTCTGCAGCCAACTGAACACTCATCAGAAACACAATCAAATAATTAAAAAATTATTGGCTTTATGGCCAGGCTTGGTGGCTCACACCTATAATCCTAGCACTCTAGGAGGCTGAGGTGGGCAGATTACCTGGGCTCAGGAGTTTGAGACCAGCCTGGGCAACATGGTAAGACCCCCATCTCTACTAAAAATATGAAAAAATAATTAGCTGGGGGTGGTAGCACACACCTGTAATCCCAGTTACTCAGAAGGCAGAAGTACCAGAATTGCTTGAACCTGGGAGGTAGAAGTTGCAGTGAGCACTCCAGCCTTGGGGACAGAGAGAGACTATGTCTCAATAAAAAAAAGAAAAGAAAAGAAAATTGGCTTTATCAACTAGCAACTTTGTTTTTTTTTTGTTTGTTTGTTTGTTTGTTTGAGACAGAGTCTCACTTTGTCTCCTAGGCTGGAGTGCAGTGGTGCAATCTTGGCTCACTGCAACCTCTGCCTCTGGGGTTCAAGTGATTCACCTGCCACAGCCTCCCAAGTAGCTGGGACTACAGGCATGTGCCATCATGCCCAACTAATTACTGTATTTTTGTAGAGATGGGGTTTCAGCATGTTGGCCAGGCTGGTCTTGAATTCCTGAGCTCAAGTGATCCACCCGCCTTTGCCTCACAAAGTGCTGGGATTGCAGGGTGAGCGACCACACCTGATCTACTAACAAGCTTCTATTAGGGAATTACTCTATTCATGTTCAAGCTACATATAGACATAAAAATTAAATAATATGAGATATTTATATACTTACAAATAACTATTTCATCATATTTCGTGTTTCAAATATATGGTGGTACAGAGAAAACGTTTATGTGGCCGGGGTGGTCATGGGAAGGCTTTGTGAAACAAAAGTAATTTAAGCTAGAGCCCAAGAATTGGCAGAATTCAGAGAGGAGAGGAGTGAAGAGGTCAGTCCAGCAGGAGCCTGGGTGTGGAAGTGCAGACATAATTAGGGAGCAGCTGTCAGTCAAGATGGCCAGGGGCAGACCTAAGTTATAATTATAAGCTTGCTTTGCTTATTGTACACTGAAGCTTATACCCCGAACTAAGCTGTATCAAGTATTGGTGCAGTAAAATAGAAATGAAGCGGCAACAGGAGGCCTAAGGTAAAGACCATCTGAGAGGCTGTAGAACCGGGCAACACCATGGGGTGGTTGCAGAGCAGGAAATACTGCTTGGGTCTCACGAACGCCTTCTCAACGTGGAGGCTGCATGAGGATCTCGTAAAGAGGATGCGTGTTAAGATCTTTGAGAAGGGAGGCGACCTAAGGGTCTCGGCAGGTGGGAGCTTGCAAGGGGGAAAAGCCTTCCAGGGCAGAGATTACCTGAATGCCACAGGCTCTGTCTAGGTTCTCAGAATATGGAGTAATCTTGATTGCTGTGTGTCCAGCCCCAGGATGCACTGGGTGTGATGAAACCTGGTGGTGCCTTATCTGCTAAGCTTCTGATGCAAATGCACCTTGGCAGCAACGGTGGTAGAACTCAGTGTGCTGGGTTTGCATAAGAATCAGGTCTGCTACTGAATACTGCAGACCACACCTCTCTCTTGGCTCTCTTGCCCATTGTAGTTTCAAGGCCTCTCCCAACAGTTTCAAGTCCTCCCCTGATCATCCCTTCCTGCTCCCCTACCCCTCAATTAACAAGTTTACACACCTAATAAAAGCACGTGGAGCCCAGAGCTCGGTGCCAACACAGTTCACCCCACGAGAGAGTGCACTGGACCCCTGGACCCATGCTGTGAACTTGTACTCTTGTATCTTTGTCTTTATTTCCTTTTCTCACTCCCTTGTTATACTGCCGGGACACGGGGCACCCACATGCAGGCTTGGGCTGGTTCCCGACAAGCAGCAGGCAGGACAAAAGACTAAACAGGTGTTGAACAGTATGAGAAGGCACGACTGGAAACATAGAATAGGGATAGATTGTGGAAGGATTAAGTACCAGGACAGCAGTTCCAGAATTTATCCTAGAATCAAAAAGGAGACATTAAAGAGTTCTCAGCGAGGAAGATAAACCAATATTAATGTTCATATTGTGTCATGGTCAATAGCCTAGACCTAGCCCGGCTGCAGCACCTGCCATTTATTGTTGATTGGCTCTCCAAGCCATTTCCAGAATTCCTGTTCTGCAGTCACCTTGTGGAAACCCACAAGAAACAGGTTGAAGGTCTTAGAGGTAGTATTTTCATACCTGTATTGTCTGCTCATTCTATTTAAAGCATAAGTTCTTGGAAAACATTCTGAAATGCAGTGTTTTAGCCCCACACTCTGGGATGGGGCCCAGGAATCTGAAAAGAACCACTGCCTAGAACTTGGCATCTGGGGAAATCCTAGATTTAACAATAGACAGATGTGGCCAGTAAGGAAACAGCAGCATCCAGTCCTCTCACCCACTCTTGTCATGACCGGGGTGGGTTTTCTTACAAACCACGTTAAAGAGGACAGCAGGCATAGAGCATTTGTTGGAAAAATGTGGCCTCTCATTCTCAGCTATACCATATGCTTTTGTCTCTCTTGATTATTTACTCCAAAGCAAACCATCATGGAAGGAAGAGGGACAAGAGATTGAGCTCAAGCACCAAAGAAGGTTCAGTGGTTTTGCCCACAGACAATTCAGTTTTGAAGTCTTAGTAAATAAGAATTTCAAAGCCTTCTTGTCATAGGCTACCTCCATCTCTCTGGCTGTCCTTTCTTCCAGTTTCCTCTTTCTCAAACTTGTCCGGTTTGCTTGGTTTTCTCTCTGACTGACTTGCTCGTTTGAATTTGGAGTACTTAGAGGGCTGCACCAGCCTGTAAGAGGATATCTTGTGGTCACTCTGTATGGCATGAACCACAATAGTATCACTTTCCAATGGATCACGAAATCTGAAAAAATAAAATGAGTGTTTTCAATATTCACCATTTTGCATAATTACTAAGTAACAAAATAAAACTCTATTATTTTTATTATCATTATACTGTGCTAGACTCAAATTTTAACCATATATACCGACAGGATGTCATGGAGATTGAATTGGACTTGATTAAAGAGCAAATACAGTCATTCTAATGAAAAGACTGAACAACTCATTGTTAATCACTATAATACCAGTGTTTTGCTAATATATGGGAAAATGAAAATTCTGCAGGCAGACTGTAGTCTAATGGTAAATGGATCATATCAAACTCTGAGTAAATTTAATCCACCTCTCTACATATTATATATAATAGACTATATATTATGCAGACATATATCTACACATATACTTATATATAATAGATTGTTATATATTACATATTAGTTATGTATTATAGATAATTATCTGTAATATATAATATATATTATATATCATATATAATTTTCACCCTAAAATTATAGCACTTTTTACCCGGTATTACATCTCTGAATAGGTGAATTCCTGGATAATATTTCAGTATTTGAATTGCTGAATTATAACCAGATTGCTACCTGCTAAAAGATGAAAGTGGTGAAGAAGTTCCTTTTAGGAAGATATGATATTATATATATGATATATATAATAGATATATCTATATATAATATATTATGGATATAGCATGAGCTATCTATATAAATTATAGATATCTAAGATATAATCTATATATAACTTATATATAATTATAATACATTATAGATAATAGATAATTATCTATAATATGTAATATATCGTTTGTGTTTTGTTGCATAGATATATGAATAAATACAAGATGTAAATTATATAAACAAATACATAAATATCTGTGTGTGAGTGAAGAGTCTCTAAATCAAAAAGTAGAAAAATAATTTTTAACACTCATTCCCTAGAAACTAAAGAATATTCATTCTTCACCTCACTAAAGCATTATGCGTCTCACACACATTTTGTTTTGTTTTAATTACATGGCATGTGTGCTGTACATATGTGTGTGTTTACATACATGCAGCAATGCAATTTATTTGTATGTAGTAACTATAAGGAGAGCAGACCTTGAGCACTTGGATAAAAGTACAGACCTCATTTCTGCTCTTTGCCCCTCAGGTTTTCATATTTAATAACATTTCATGAAAGTCCCCATCTATTGGATTCCTCCATTTGCCTCTGTAAAAAAACATGAAGCTCAGGAAATCATACTAATCTCCAGTTCATCTTTCTCTCATAGCCCACATTGCCTTCATTTTTTAAAAGCTCTTCATATCTGTCAATTTTTAAAATTAACTAAAAAAATTTTTCATCATTTACCTTGTTATTTGGGGGCATTGGTTCATAATTATCACACACACACACACACACACACATGCACTTTTAATTTTGGAATTTAATTTATTTTTGTGTATATTGCTTATTCCTAGCTTGTTTGCCTTTCTATTTTTCTAACTTAATCTTTTAAACTCTATGTCTCCTTTTAAAATAATTTACTATTTCTTTTTAATTTTCCCTTTTCTTTCATAGTACTTTCTCTTCTCTTTAAGACTTATTTTCCTTTATGTTTTTGCCCACTGGAACTTTTAAATTTTAGCCTTTCCATGAGACTGGAAAATATAGCTGGTTTTGATGACATAAAAATTAAAACTTCTGCATAGTTAGAAACATATGAACAAAGTTTAAGGCAAATGGCAGAGTAGGAGAAAGCATTTACAGTATGTAGAATAAAAGGCAAATATCTGTAATAGAGACAAAGAGGCTAAAATTAAAAATAATGGGGGAAATGAACAGAACCCAAAGAAAAAATGAACAAGAAATCTAAACAGACAATTCTCAGAAGAATAAATATAAATAAAGTATAGGCATATGAAAGGAAATGCTGAACGCCACCAATAATCAAAAGGATTAAATGATTCAGTCAAGAGTTATTATACTTGGCCTGTTATATTGGTAAAAATGAAAACACTGGTAATACGCAGTGTTATTGGGTGGTACAACTTTATCCTCTCCCCACATTCCAGTCAGACAGGTTCTTATTATCCTCTTCCATATGCTCCCTGAAAACATGATGCTATGGTGGATGGAGGGTGCCCAGATCAGGGACAGAAAGCAGGACATGAGGAAAAGAGTGTTGATAATAAGGATGGTGGTGAGGCAGAGGTGAACCCTGACTTGGAGGGGATGGGCAAGTGGGTCCTGTTCCCTGCATCTGAAAGCATCTGGGGAGATGGTAAGGCCTTAAGAGTGATGTCTGTATGTGTGTTTGATCTACAGCACAGGCGGCTCCTGGCCTCACAAAACACTGCCTGCTCCAGCAGAGCCCAGAAACCACAGAATCGAAGGACCAAAAGAAGCAGGTAGGCTGGGAAAATGAGGCCATGAGCTTCCGTAGTACTGAGACTGACTTTCCTATCTTCTTGATGGAAGCCCAGAGTCAAAGTCAAATTTAAGATAATTTAAACAAGAAGCAGCCATGTACTTACATACCTAAGTTTGTAAGTTAGGATGCACATATATATATAAATACACACACACTTATAAATATACTGTAAATACTTATTAAAGCCAAACATAGGCTGCTATGTTGAGAGTTCTTCACCACTTTCATCTTTTAGCAGGTAGCAATCTGGTTATAATTCAGCTATTCAAATATTGAAATATTATCCAGGAATTCACCTATTCAGAGATGTAATACCTGGTAAAAAGTGCTATGATTTTCAGGGTGAAGTACCAGAGAGGAGAGAGCAGCACAGGAGAAACAGAGATAGACAGACCCAGAGTCAGAGAGAGCAAGAGCTCTGAAGATGGAGAGGGTTCCCTTCCACTCTGCAGGTAAGCACTCATCCGCCCTCCATGAGAAGGGGTCTACCTGAGGCTGGGAAAAGAACCCCCAGAAAGGAACAGGCAGCATGATCCACAGATCTCACACAGTCGAAATAGCTGTGTTCCCATCAACCCGATAATACATAGTCTACTAGGAAGAGTGTTGTCTGAGCAGCTAGGAAAACATTAGCCCTAGACTAAAGGCTGCCCTGATCTCACCTAACAAAGATCAAAGACAAGCCTCAGAAAAACGAAACCAAACTTTTTCCAAAACAGAGCTCAAGAATAATTTAAAGTATACAGAGATTAAGATGGCAGATAGGAGGCAGGACCAGCTTGCAGTTCTGGACAGAGCGTTGTGTGGAGACTCACATCATGAACTCCAAGAACCACCATAGGAACATACCCAGAAAACTTGAGAGAATCCACAGACCCTTTGAAGGAACTGGATCACCCGTGCAGGCTCCCTGTCATGCCAAAAACACTGAATCTGCTTGCTTTCTCTGTGGGGAGGCCCCTGGTCTGGGTCTGGGGCAGTTCTCAGCCCTGCTCAGCAGCTGTCTGGAAATACACTTGCTCTTGGGAGGCTCTGGTGGGAGTGAGACCGACCTGTAGGACCCTGGGCTATATGGGAGCAGGGTCAGGCCTGTGACTACCAGCTTTCCCCAACTTCCCTGTAAGACTCAGCAGAGGCAGTCATGATCCCCCTGGGAATATAACGCTATTGGACTGGGAACCACACCCGCATCCCCACAGCAGCCGCAGCAGCAGACCCCACCCAAGGAGAGGCTGAGCTCAGACACACCTATCCCTGCCCCGACCTGGTGGTCTTGCTCTACATGCCCTGGTAGCTGAAAACAAAGGTGATAATCTTGGGAGCTCTATAGGGCCCTGCCTGAGAAACCTGCATACTTAACCAGGTGTTCGTAGGGCAAGTTTACATCCTCCCTGCAGGACTGCAGCTGATGGATTCTTGAAATGGCCACCTCCTGGCTGGAGCCAAGCAACCCAAAACGAGCACACTAAACAAAAGCACAACCAAGGACCCTCTTAGAGTCTGCTACACTCCCCTGCTACCCCCGCTGGAGCAGGTGTTGGTACCCATGGCTGCAGGATTTGAAGATGGATCACACCACGGGTCTCTCTGCAGACACTCCTCAGTACCAGCCCAGAGCTTGGTAGCTCTGCCGGGACTCGGGCGAAAGGACGGGAGATGGTGAAGGATAAAAGACTACACGATGGGTACAGTGTGCACTGCTCAGGTGATGGGAACACCAGAATATCAGAAATCACCACATAATCAGCACCACCTGTTCCCTAAAAACCTATTGAAATTTTCTTTTTAAGTTTTTTAAGTATACAGAAATATCTAGAACCTACAGTGTAAAACTTACCAGGCAGACGGGCCAAAAGCATAAAAATGTAACCCCAAGAAAAGTATTTTAAAAAGCATAAAAATGTAACCCAAAATGAACAGAATAAATCAGTCAATAGAAAGATACACAGAAATGACACAGATAATATAACCAGCAGACAAGGACATTAAAGCAATTATTATAATATATTCTTCATTTATATATAATATGCATAATTCCATATTACATATAGAATATATAATTACTATAATTATTCTACATTTTCAAGAAGGTAGAGGAAAGCATGCGTTAAAGTGAGGAAAATTTTTAGCTACTGCACTAGGAGGTCAATACAAATGACTAATAATAAATAATAAATGTATATAAATACATTATCTAGATATATCATTGTGACCACTATAAAAATATTAAAACTGATTCTTTTTCAGATATATCATGTTTATGTAAGATAATATTTATTATTTGTCTATTATTCCTAAATAGGAATTTAGGAATATTCCTTAAATATCTATTATTTCCACAGATTCCATGTAATTCCAATAAAAATTTTAGCAGGCATTTTCTAAAAATTGACAAGTTGATTCTATGCAAAGAACTTAACCAATCTTGGAGAGGAAGAACATAGCTGGTGGATTTACAATATTAGATGTCAAGAGTTAATTCAGACAGAGTGATACTGGCCCCTGGATAGACAGACAGGCCAATAAGATAGAACAGAGTTCAGAAACAGACCCACGAATGTACAGTTACCTGACTTATGACAAAAGTATCACTACAATCTAGTATAGAACGGATGGTCTTTTCAACAAACAATACTAGGTCAACTGGATATCAGTATAAAAACACATGACGTGATCTCACACCACTTAAAAAATTATTCAAGATGAATAATGGAAAAACAATAGAGCTTCTAGAAGAAAACAGAATGATTTTATGAATTGGGAGTAGGCAAAGTTTCTCTAAGTATAACACAAAAGCATTAATCTTTTTTAAAAAAGACTTCGTTAAAAGAAAAAACGTCTATTCAACAAACAACTCCATTAAGAGTAAAGCCGCATACTACAGCAAGATATTTCACATATACACATGCACACATGTCATGTATATAGTCACTCATATTTGTAGATAAATAACCAAAGCTCATATGCCGATGTAAATAATTCCTGCACCCAGTTTTAAAAATGGACAAAAGACTGGAACAAACACAACAATAGAAAATATGAAAATGATTGGTAAATATATGAAAAAGGACTGAAAATCACTCGTCAGGGAGATGCCAATTTAAACCACATAGAGACGCCCCCACAGAATAGCTGGACTTTAAAGGGCTGACAATCCCAAGCATGAGTATTATGGATTTGTGTCCCCCTCAAAAAGCTATGTTGAGGTCCTAATCCCCAACACCTCAGAGTGTGACATTTGAAAATAGGGTCTTGATAGAGGTAATCAAGTTATAATGAAATAATTACAGCAGGCCTTAATGAAACATAACTCGTGTTCTTATAAAAAGGGGACATTTGGACACTGAGATAAACATATGCAGGGAAAACTGTATGAAGACACAGGGAGAACATCGAGTGAAAGCAGAAGATTTGGAGTGATAGATTCATAAGCCAAGAAAACCAAAAGTTGCTGGCAAACCACCCGAAGCTTGGAGAGGGGTATAGAACAGATTCTCCCCGCTCCCCCGCAAGCTCTCAGAAAGAAGCAACTTGCCTGACACTTTGATTTTGGACTCCTAGCCTCCAGAAGTGTGAGACAATAAATAACCAGTTTTAAGCCAATCAGTTTGTGGTACTAAGAAACTAACACAATGGGGAACAATAGGGATTCTCTTACATTAATGGTAAGAGTGTAAATTGATCAAACCGTTTTGAAAAACTGACAGGATCTAATAAAACTAAACATGCATATAACCTATGGTCCAGCAGTTCCATGACTGCATATATAACCAACAGGAATAAGCACTTTTATCCATCAAAAAACATACACAATGTTCACAGTAGTGTTATTTATGGTATCCCCAAAACAGAAACAACTCCAATATCTATTAACAGTGGAAGGGATAAACTGTGGCATAATCATTTTAAAGAACTATTAAAAAGCAAGGGAATTGAATACACTACTGCTACATGTAACAAGACTGATAATCTTAGACAGCATGAGTTTAAAAAAGAGCCAAATGCAAAAGAATCCACACTGTAACACTCTATTTATATGGAATTCACAAACCAAACTAATATATGGCAATGAAGATTCAACTCTGGAGAATAAGTATTTCCTGGGGTGAGGGGTACATGGGGGAACTTGCTGAAATGCTATAAATGTTCTCTATCTTAATCTGAGTAGTACATATATGTATACATCTGTAAAAACTTTTCAAGATGTTCAGTTAAGATTTATATACTTTACTTACATAAAGTATATAAACCTTATATATACTTTACTTATATAAAGTATATCTCAATAAATGACAAAAAAAAAACACCAGTCATTTCCTCTGGAAGTCAAATTGATGCATGACAGGGATAAAACCAGAGATTTTATTTCAAGTACTTTGATTCTATTTTAATTTTTATTTCTTAATACATACACGTTCATTAATTAACTTGATATAAAATAAATAATTCATCAAAAGAGAAAGTAAATATGTATTGTATAATTTAAAAAATCTAAGTGTTAAACTAATTTCCCACATTTAAACTAGAAAGGGGAGTACAGAACGCTCAGGAAAATACCAGTAGCAGTGACAAGACGATTCCTGGAGATTTCAGCTTAGCAGGTGCCTCCCAGGGCCCTCGTACCTGGCCACTTCGCTACACTACTATACACTATGCTATTCGAGCATGTGCTCAAACACCTTAGCTTGTACAGAACATGGGTCCTACCGATTCTTTAGCTTCATTAGGCCGAGTTCATGTTTCTCTTTTTCCCAAGCTAACTCCTTTTCTACTTGTTGAATTTGGAAAGCTGTTTTTCTGTTTATCTCATCACGGATTCTGGAATCTACATCAAAATCCTGCAGATAAGAAGATCCATTCTTCAAAATGGGTACTTTATCAACCCTCTGTTTCAAACAGATTTCAGTTTTGTTCCCAGTTTCACGCTGCATCATAACTCTTCCCCAGATGTCATACGCTCTTTCCATTACAGAAGAAAAATAGCATATTTTTAACGTTACTTCCACAATATAAGGAGAAATGTTCTTCTCAGTTAACAATAATGCAAATAAAGTTACACATTTTAAGATTTTTTTCCCACAGTAAAAATAATGAGTGCTATCAATATTTGGAGAGTATACAGTTTTAAAAACTACTCTCACCATCTCAGAGAAACCGCTATTATATAAAAATCGGACATGAGGTAGATCCTCATGGCAACTGATCAATATCTGAACATCCCCCCCTGGTGTGACCCCACCCATGAAAGATGGCAGTCTCTGGTGTCTTCTTGACATCACCAAGCTTTTGTTGAATCTCCTTCATAAAGGGCTCCACACTAGAATAAATTAAAAGATGCCCAAAATAAATGGCTGTTGAAATTTTGAAAGAAACAAACGAGAAGAAAGATGATTTTAAGTGTTTCTACTTGTTGGAAAGACAGTCATCTCTAACCAGAAATAGCATATGTCAAAATAAATATCAAGTTTATATTAGGCTTACCGTTCGTTTAAACTGCATATGCCTTGGTAATTCTTCATTCATTTTTAATAGTTTACAAAATTCACTTCTCAAAGCTTTGATTTGCTCTCTCTTCCTTGCCTTTATTTCTTCCACTTCTTTCATTAATTTGTCATGTTCTCTTTTTCTCCTAGCATTCTCAATACTGAAAACAGAAATTTAAAACAGTAACAGGTTATAATATAGAAACAGCAACGAAAGAGAAAATTAGTATTCAATAATTTGAAAATTCATTAAGCTAGGCCAACTTCTGCACTGTTGATTTGTTTTGCAAAATCTCAGGCCTAGTCAGTATTTACCAAAAAGTTCCATACCTGGAGGCTTTGGGATCTTCAATGTCTTCTGGAATTGGCTCTGTTTCAATTCCAAACTACAAGAAGGGAAGTAAAAGGTTAGCCCTTTAAAATCGCATAGCATTTTCCCTAACATATCTAGGAAGAAGTAAATGAAAAACGCAAATTGGTTGGGTTTTTTCTGCCTGTTTCTAATAACTGTAGGTCTGAAAAGCAGTTTCACAAAGAAAAAAAAAAAAAACTAAGAAAAAATTGCAGTTTACTAAACTTACTCATTTCGGCTTTATTTGAAGGAGTATGTAGGAATAGTCTTAACCTAATCATATGTCTGCAAAATGTTAATATCCCCATAATTTCCCCTCAAAGTGTAAATTACTAATGTTCATGCGCTATTAACACAGAATTCACAAAAACAGGCTAGATAATTTATTTCAAAACGCTGGTTTTCAGTATATCGCTTTATCACATGCATCATTCATCCAAATACCTCACTGTGTCCTAGAAATATTTCAACATTTATATATTTTTAATTTTAAATAAGCATTTTATATCACCTTTTCAAAGGAAGTCACAAAGTAGAAAATGCAAAGAACAATGCAATCCCCCTCCATGAAAGAGAAAGATACGAAATCAGAAATACAATCTCCCTTCAGAAAGGAAATCAGTGTAAATTTGAGGGAACTAAGAAGGAAATCACTCCAAAGTGCTCTGTTTATCCAGATTCTATGCTGTGAAACGTCTCAGCCTATGATGCTGAAGCAGAATTATAACTCACGGAGCAAAACAGCCATAGTTTGCTGACTAGTATGTTCATAAATAAAATTAAACTTTATTATCTTTTTCAGAGAAGATAGGTCTCTATTTTGCTGTCATTTGTTATGAATATTCTTGATAAAGTTGTTTTTGATAAAGATATGAAATATAAATCTATGTATTTTTATGAAAGTCAAGGTTTATGACTTTAATAGAAGCAAAGTCAGAAAACAGGATCAATATGAGACAGTAATGGCTAATCAATTGTACTGATTATTAATCACGTAGGATACAAACGTATTGAATTATATTTATTTTTTATTCTTTTATTGGCCAGAGCTAAGTCCCTTGGTTCTCTAATATCAGTGTGACTCCTAGGATTTGATGCTGATACTGGGACAACTGTCTCCTGGCCAGAGCTGTTTCCAAGAAGATTGAGTTAAACAAAGTTCCAAAGTATATGCCAATGGTTCTCAATCCTAGCTGCACATTAGCATCACATGAAGGATGGTTTATAAAATACTGATGCCTGGACCTCACCTTCAGATATTCTAATTTAATTGCTCTTGGGTAGGCTCCGGCATCTGGACTTCTAGGGCTCCCCAGCTACTTCTAAAGTCCAGCAAGGTAAGAACCTCAGACCAATGCAGAGCTTAGTTGTTTTTTGTTGTTTTTTAAAAAAAATTCCTTCTAATTTTTCCTGTTTTTCGTTTTGTTTTGTTTTTCTTTTGAGATGGAGTCTCTCTGTCACCCAGGCTGGAGTGCACTGGCACAATCTCGGCTCACTCCAACTTCCACCTCCTGGGTTCAAGCAATTCTCCTGCCTCAGCCTCCAGCACTACAGGTGCGTGCCACCATGCCCGGCTAATTTTTTGTATTCTTAGTAGAGACGAGGTTTCATCATGTTACCCAGGATGGTCTGCATCTCCTGACCTTCTGATCCGCCTGCCTTGGCCTCCCACAATCCTGGGACTACAGACATGAGACACTCGTCCCAGCCTAATTTTTCCTTCTTAAAAGCAATGTCTGTTTCCGTGATTTCAGAAATATTGATTGCAGCCATAAATAAAAGAACATGATTATTCGACTTTGGAATAATGGCTTTCTATCCAATATGGGTTTCTGCAGAGAGGGCTGGCACAAGGTAGGAAGACATCTTCATCTTGTTTATATACTTTCCTTCTGTAATTCCTTTTTCCTCTCTAAACAGTAGCCCGTACTCCAAATTTTGCTATTAGAAGAAATGAAAATTGACTAACTCATATCTTCCCTACATTCTTTATGTGTTTTTGAAGTAGGCTACTGGCTAAATGGGAAGCCAATATGTTCATAGGAATTTTAGTTGTAATCTTTTTAATACAACTCCTTTCTCCTTAGGAGCAATTCTTTTTTTTTTTTTTTTTTTGAGACGGAGTTTTGCTCTTGTTACCCAGGCTGGAGTGCAATGGCACGATCTCGGCTTACCACAACCTCCGCCTCCTGGGTTCAGGCAATTCTCCTGCCTCAGCCTCCTGAGTAGCTGGGATTACAGGCACGCGCCACCATGCCCAGCTAATTTTTTGTAATTTTAGTAGAGATGGGGTTTCACCATGTTGACCAGGATGGTCTCGATCTCTTGACCTCGTGATCCACCCGCCTCAGCCTCCCAAAGTGCTGGGATTACAGGCGTGAGCTATCGTGCCCAGCCCAGGAGCAATTCTAATGGTTATGAACGACTGATTTTATCTGAAGGAATTGCCTTAATAATACGAAATTCAAGTTCTATGACCAGAAAAAGGACATAATTGGGGGATCTGAACCCCCAAACTCCATCACAAAGCCAACAATCTAGATCTGCTTTTAACAAAATTCTTAATCCTGAATCACGACCCATACTGTCATATTCTAATGCTAAAGAAAGATCTTTTTGCAGCCCCTATCAGAAGCACACTTTATGGCATACATCCTACATTAGCCCTTACATTGAGTCAACGAATAAATGAAAAGCAAAATACAATCTGAAAAAACTGTGAACTTTGCAAAAAAAAATTTTTTTAAAAAGTTTTTTTTTTTAATACAAACTCTTGACTACATAGAAAAACAGACACATAATTTTCTAATTTGGGGAATTCCAATCTTCAATAATAAGGGAAATGTAATACTTTTACTATTTTATATAGGAGCACCAGAAAGTCAAATTACAATACTAGCAGGAAGATTAGACCATAAGGTGGATGTGTCTAAATAAATTTAAATTTATAAAGAATATGAACAATTTTGATATTAGCATTTTTGAATAAAGTTTGCTATTAATTAACTGGTTAATTAATTACATACCCTGGGAGATGGCACCTTGGCCTTGATGTCTTTCCTTAGCATAAATTCAGAAAAAATGTTGAAAACAAAGATATTACCATCTCCTCCAGTGGTCACCAGGAAACGATCGTCAAAACTACTAGCCATACTTTTAATCCAGCCATAGTTATTGTCATGCACACTGAAGTGCCAGTAGTCCACCAAGCTTGTCAATGAAGGATCATTCTCATTTAGGACATAGACTCGAATTGCTCCATTTTTCATTCCACAAAACATCATAATTTTGTTAATGCTATGAAACAAAAAATGTAAATTATTCTTCCCATTAATCAGAAAATAATGCTTAATTTCAAGTCAATTAATAGCTAAATTAATAACAAAGTTGTTGTGGACTGAGTTGTACACCCCAAAATTAATATATTGAAGCCCAAACCCCTAATACTTCAGGATGTAACTGCATTGAGATAGGGCCTTTAAAGAGGTAACTAAGTTAAAATGAGAATACTAGGGTAGGTTCTAATCCAGCCCACCTGGTGTCCTCATAAGAAGAGATGAGGACACACAGACTGACATCAGGATAGCACACACCCAGAGAAAAGGCTGTGCAAGAAGGCAGGTATCTACAGCCAAGGAGAGAGGCCTTAAGAGAACCCAACCTGCTGACACCCTGATCTTGGAACTCTAGCCTCCAGAACTGTGAGAAAAAAAAATTCTGCTGTTTAAGCCACCTAGTCTGTGATGTCTTATTGTGGCAGCCCTAATGTACTAATACAAAAGAATAGAGAAATATAATTTCAGAATTAGCTTTGATTCTATTTATTCATTTGATTTATTTCACCAAATGTTTTTTGAATACCCCTTCATTTGGATGGATCTCTAAAAATTGATAATATCTGCGATGGACAAAAGCATAGACACTAATGGGATATGGTTTTTTAAAGCTTTTTGAAATACCACTCACTTGAAAGTGATAGTTTGGATGGGATTATCATCTGTATTCTCAAGATAACGGACATCAAAAGGTTCATCTTTTTGTTCTTTGAAATTATTGCTTTCATCACAAGGGGGGAACTCACAGTGATACAGAAAACCAGAATCATAGTCACCCTGGAAAAGAGATAAGTAACATAGAAGGTGATACTTGAATACAACACACATAAATGCATGAGAATTTTTTGATTATTTCAAATTTGAAAACAAAAAATAGATGTTTTCAAACTTCTATTTCTACATAATTTCTATTATAGTTTATTTCTATAAATCATCTCCTTTATCCATTTACACACAACTATATAATTATAATAAAAACTATATGATGATTTGTTTCCACTTAAAAATCATTATAAGAGAGAGATCACATTTGACTCCCTACAGAATTTCATTTTATTTCTTCAAGCATTATTCTGCATAAGCAGTAATAGGGTTACTGCTTATGGGTTTTGCATAATAGTTCCTTGTTTTTACAGCTAGTTTTCAGTCTAAGGAAACTGTAAACACTGTTAATTTTCCAGGAAGGGCTATTTCTGAAAAATTTATCCACATAGTGAGAAGACGAATGATCAACTGGAAGAGCTATACTGCTCCAACTCTAATATTACTGAGATTCCCTATTATAGGAAACAAATTGAGGGTCAGAACAACTTTATGAACAATAAATAAATAAATAATAAAGAGAAGGTAACAACATGATCACCTCTGAAAATCAAATTACTAAGTTTTCACTTGTGACAATGTCAGACTAGATCGTTTCAGCCAAACTCTCCCACTGAGAACAACCAGAACAATTTTTCCTTATTTTTTATTTTTTCACCTTGGGTATTTTTATTGTCCAGTCACTTCACAATCTAACGGTTCAGGATTGATGACCAGTTAAATGTGTAATCAACAGAGAGTTTGCAGAGGCTTAATCACATTTTCAATTCTGTTTATATAAAATTTTAAGCCTTTTTTAATGCAAGGCAATAAACAAAGTAACATTTTGGGTTACTAACAGCATTATCTGCTATAATATGAATAAATAACTAGATGTGTAATACTGACATATCATGGTAGTTACAAATAATATAATACATTTTCTAGACAGCATAAAGACATTTACCCTATCCAAATAACCAATTTTAACCATGTATTTATTGATTCAAAATTTGAATTATACAGTTCTAATATTGATATATATTCATGTATAAATTCTTTAAAAAGCACATATTATAATAACTAAAATTTTTTTTTATATTACACTTTAAGTTCTGGGGTACATGTGCAGATCCTGCAGGATTATTACATAGGTACATACATGCCATGGCGTTTGCTGCATCCATCCCCCTATTACCTACATTAGGTATTTCTTCTGTTATCCCTCCCCAAATTCCCCCCTGCTATCCCTCCCCTAGGCCCCCCACCCCGCAACAGGCCCTGGTGTGTGATGTTCCCCTCCCTGTGTCCATGTGTTCTCATTGTTCAACACCTACTTATGACTGATAACATGCGGTGTTTGATTTTCTGTTCTTGTGCCAGTTTGCTGAGAATGATGGTTTCCAGCTTCCTCCATGTCCCTGCAAAGGACATGAACTCATCCTTTTTTATGGCTGCATAGTATTCCATGGTGTATATGTGCCACATTTTCTTTATCCAGTCTATTGTTGATGGGCATCTGGGTAGGTTCCAAGTCTTTGCTATTGTGAACAGTGCCACAATGAACATACATGTGCATGTGTCTTTCTAAGAGAACGATTTATAACCCTTTGGGTATATACCAAAGGATTGCTGGGTAAAATGGTATTTCTATTTCTAGATCCTTGATGAATCTCCACACTGTATTCCACAATGGTTGAACTAATTTATACTTCCACCAACAGTGTAAAAGTGTTCCTATTTCTCCACATCCTCTCCGGCATCTTTTGTCTCCCGATTTTTTAATGATTGCCATTCTGACTAGCATGAGATTGTATCTCAATGTGGTTTTGATTTGCATTTCTCTAATGACCAGTGATAATGAGCATTTTTTCATATGTTTGTTGGCTGCATAAATGTCTTCTTTTGAAAACATTCCATGCTCATGGTTAGGAAGAATCAACATCATGAAAATGGCCATACTGCCTAAAGTAATTTATAAATTACATGCTATCCCCATCAAGCTACCATTGACCTTCTTCACAAAACTGGAAAAAACACCTTAAACTTCATATGGAACCAAAAAAGAGCCCTCATAGCCAAGACAATCCTAAGCAAAAAAAAAGAAAAAAAGAAAAGCTGGAGGCATCATGATACTTGACTTCAGACTCTACTACAAGGCTAAAGTAATCAAAATAGCATGGTACTGGCACCAAAACAGAGATATTGAGCAATGGATCAGAACAGAGGCCTCAGAAGTAACATCACGCATCTCCCACCATCTGATCTTTGACAAACCTGACAAAAACAAGCAATGGGGAAAGGATTCCCTGTTTAATAAATGGTGTTGGGAAAACTGGCTAGCCATATGCAGAAAGCTAAAACTGGACCCCTTCCTTACACCTTATACAAAAATTAACCCCAGATGGATTAAAGACTTAAACATAAGACCTAACACCATAAAAACCCTAGAAGAAAACCTAGTCAATACCATTCAGGACATAGGCATAGGCAAGGACTCCATTACTAAAACACCAAAAGCAATGGCAACAGAAGCCGAAATAGACAAATGGGATGTAACTAAACTTAAGAGCTTCTGCACAGCAAAAGAAACAATCATTAGAGTGAACTGGCAACCAACAGAATGGGAAAAAATTTTTACAGTCTACCCATCTGACAAAGGGCTGATATCCAGAATCTACAAAGAACTTGAACAAATTTACAAGAAAAAAACAACCCCATCAAAAAGTGGACAATGGGTAAGAACGAAACAAATTTTCTAAATGGAAAGCTATCAAAATAGCAAGATCCAAAAACGAAGGGAAGGCAGAAGTGAGCTTGGCGTTTGACACTGCTTTACTCCCTGGGGTAACTGTCAGTTCTTAAGGTGGCAGCTGAGAGGCTACAAAGCTGGACGGAGCTATCTGCAGTCTCATGGACTTATGTAGAAAGAAATAATCATCCCCCGGGTTCAAGCGGGCTCTCAAAGAGATATCTGAACACCAACCTCATTCATAGCAGCATTATTCACAGTAGCCAAAATTGCCGAAAGGCAGGAGCAATCCAAGTGTCTTTTTTTTTTTTTTTTCTTTTTTTTGAGATGGGGTCTCACTCTGTCACCCAGACTGGAATGCAGTGGTGTGATCTGGGCTCACTGCAACTTCCACCTCTGAAGTTCAAGCGATTCTCCTGTCTTCTCAGCCTCCTGGGATTGTAGGTTAGAGACAGGGTTTCACCATGTTGGCCAGGCTAGTCTGGAATTCCTGGCCTCAAGTGATCCACTCACCTTGGCCTCATAGAGTGCTAAGATTATGGGCATGAGCTACCAAGCCTGGCCCCAAGTGTCTATTGATGACTGAGTAGATAGGCAAAATATGGTAAAACCTAAAATGGAGTAGTATTCAGCCTTGAAAAGAAAGGAAATTCTGACATATTCTGCATCGTGGATGAAACTTGGGGAAATTATCCCAAGTGAAACAAGTCACTCATAAAGAGATAGAGATTGTATAATTTCACTTATTTGAGGTACTTACAGTAGTCAAAATCATAGAGAAAGAAACTAGAGTGATGGTTGCCAGGGGCTGGGTAAAGGGAAGAATCAGGAGTTATCATTTGATGAGTACGGGAGTTTCTGTATTATAGGATGAGGATGATGGTGGAGACGGATGTTGGTGATGACTTCACAACACTGTGAATATGTTTACTACTACTGAGCCGTACACTTAAAAATGGTTACGATGGTAAAATTTATGTTATATGACTTTTACTTCAATAAAAAACAATTGGAAATACAAAGTTTAAAATAAAAGACAGTTACAAAGCTGGAAGAGAGATCTGAAAAAAGAAGCTGAAGCATGGAGAGAGACAAAAAGGATGGAAGATTCTTTTGATGATGTAAGATACATATGGAACATAATGAAAAGGATGGAATACACATAAAGTTGGGATCCCAGAATGAGAGAGTGAAAAGATAGGCCAGAAGCAACGTCGTGGTAGACAATGGCTAAGAATTTTCCAAAACTGAAGAGATATGTTGAAATTTAGAGTGCTACAAACTGCTAACAAAACAAAAATCTTAAAGTCAGTAAGATACATTAACTCGATCCAAAAGTAGTAATTAAGATACACTAAATAGATACATTAGCCTTCAAAAAAAGAAGAAAAGGCCAGGCAGGGTGGCTCACGCCTGTAATCCCAGCACTTTGGGAGGCTGTGGCGGGTGGATCACGAGGTCCAGAGATCGAGACCATCCTGGTCAACATGGTGAAACCCTGTCTCTACTAAAAATACAAAAAATTAGCTGGGCATGGTGGCGCATGGCTGTAGTCCCAGCTACTCAGGAGGCTGAGGCAGGAGAATTGCCTGAACCCAGGAGGCGGAGGTTGCGGTTAGCCGAGATTGCGCCATTGCACTCCAGCCTGGGTAACAAGAGTGAAACTCCGTCTCAAAAAAAGAAAAGAAGAAAAACATGACACTGCTGGCTAAATGAAAGACAGAAGATGATAAAACAATATTGTAAAAGTTTTGGAAAAATATTTAGCAAAAATAAAAGCAAAAGAAACACACTTTACAACAAAGCAAAACAAAAACAAAGCCCAAAAAGCAAAGGACAGAGAATTAGTCACCAGCAAGCCTCCACTTAAAAAAACATTATTAGTCTATTGTTTAGGCAAAAGGTACAAATTACAAAGACGTAGAAAGGAATTAAGAGTAAGGGAAAGGCAAAAAGGTATTACTCTGGCTTCTAGGAGGGTCCTCATGAGTGCCGCTGGCTCAGCAAATAAAGCTCTTGAAATACCACGTAATATGGGAAACCGGCTTCAGGGTGTCGACCAGTCTGCTACCAAGAGGAATGATAGAGGAATTTGATCCTCAACTGGAACTCTTTGCTGCAGTTTGGGGTGCCAGGAACTTGAGCCCCATTAACCTCATTCAGACAGGGTGTGGCCAAGTAGACCAATGGAATCTTGTGCTATTCCTGAACCTTCCAACAGCAGAGCCTACAGTCTGTGATCACAAGATACACCCTGATGGCAGCTGAAGTTTGAGTCAGATGAGCATCTTCCCTATCCCTGCCTAGTTTCCTTTTGTTCCTTGAGCCCACTCAGAATTCCATTCTCTAATCAGCAGACAGGCTAAGTTAAAGGATGGCCTCTGTTCTGTAGATTTCTGCACATAGTTCCTAAGCTTTTTCAGAAGATGATCGTTGTTCTTGTCCTGAGGAAGAGCAACAATATTTTAACAAATATTGGAAATAAAGGCTGCACAAAGATCAAAAAAAAAAAAGTAAGAAAGATAAACCAGAATGATATTAATGATAAAACAATCCCAAAATGCATTCTTAGGTGGGGTGGGGTACAGTGAACTTAAAGTATTCTAAGGTAATTTTCTCTGGAGCTAATAAAAGGATTTATACTAAAATTAATTAAGCCAAATCCATATTATGCTCTTTAAAATCACCTCTAGGCTGGGCACTGTGGCTCTCACCTGTCATCCAAGCACTTTGGGAGGCCAAGACAGGCAGATCACTTGAGGTCAGGAGTTTGAGATCAGCCTGGCCAACATGGTGAAACCTGTCTCTACTAAAAATACAGAAATTAACCATGGATAGTGGCACACACCTGTAATCCCTGCTACTCAGGAGGCTAATCACTTGAACCTGAAAAGTAGAGGCTGCAGTGAGCTGAGATGGCACCACTGCACTCTAGCCTGCACAAGAGTGAGACTGTGTCTCAAAAATACAAATAAATAAGTAAATGAAATCACCTCTAAAAGAATAGTAAAAGAATGTATGCCTCACACTCTAGTAGAGAAATAAAATTATGGGAAAAGTTACCTAATAATAGAAGGTAAAAAAGGGAAAGAAAAGAAATTTAGAATGAATATGACAAATAGAAATAATTAGATACTAGATTTAAACTAAAACATATCAGTAATTACATTAAATATAAATGAACAATAGTACTTTTTTAAAAGACAAAGATTATCGTATAGGATTCCTTTAAGCCTAAACATACACTGTTTACAAGAGGCCTACTTTTGATATGAGGGTAGCAGATGGTAAAGGAAAGAGGAGACTCCTTAATAACTCAAGGTTTTGGCAAAGTAACCAAGTGGATGATTGTCTCATTCACTGAGATGGAGATGGAGCAGGTTTGCATGGGGCAAGTATGATTTAAAAGTAATGTCTTGGACAGGTTAATTTTGAGGTGCCAAGGAGCATTGTCAAGTTGGATATAGAGGTCAGGACTAGAGATAAATATTTGAGATTCACAGGAAGACAAGTAATATTTAAAGCCATGAGACTGGATAAAGCTGCCTTAGCAAGAGAGGGCCCAAGGCCAGACTCTGGAGTATTTCAAACTTCAAAGCTTGTTCTGTACATGAGAAGCCAGCAAAAGAGGGTGAAAAGGAGTGGCCAGAAGAGTGTAATGTCTTAGAAGCCAAGAGGAGAAAGCATTTGAGAAGTATGAGGGCTCAACTCTGTTAAATGCTTCCGAAAAGTCAAATGGACAGAGAATTGACCTCTGAGTTTGTCAATCTCTAAATCAGTAGTGACGTGACGGAGATGGAAGCCCAGCTGGAAAGGGCTGAAGATCAAATAGCAGGTGAAGAGGTTAAGCCAGTGATTACAGATGATTCTTTCAATAACTTTTTCTGTGACAGAGCAGTGGGAGAAAAGAAAAGAGAGGTTAAGGAAAGAAAATTAAGATTAGTTCTAGAGCATGTTTTTATGCTTATGATAAGAACTACAAAGAAAAGACAGAAGCTGATGATACAGGAAACCAAGAGGTTTATCTCAGGAGCAAAATTTTTGAGAAAATTACAAGGGATGGGATTGAGGGGCCATTGGGAACAGTATCCTTGGGGAGCTGCAAGGGACGGTTCTCCAGTTACAATAGGCAAAGCAGACAAAAGGTATGTGGCTTCCCTATAGGCTGCTACCTCTAACTGAGACAAGAAAAGCAAATTCCATCTGATTGCTTTTATTTTCTCTGTGAAATGTGAGATAAGGTTATCAGTGAAGAGTAAGAGAAGATACAAAATGTTTGAGGGGAGAAGAAAGACTTAAGGTGATAATTTGGAAAGGGAAGACGGCTGGGCAGCAGAATTGGCCTGCGGTGTGACCATCGGTTTGAGAATTGCAGTCATTACTTAAAAATGAGACTGGGTTTCCTTCAGCGTCTGTTCCGCTGTAGGCACAGAGCTGTCAGATTGTTGGCTGAAGCTTTGCCACCTCTCTTAACTGTGTTTTATCCTTGTTCACCGGGTAGCTTAATGGTTAACAGCCTGAACTCTGGACCCAGATTGCCTGAGTCCAGATCCTCATTTCACCTCTCATGACTTATATGGCCCTGGATAAAATACCTAACATTTCCATGCCTTGGTTTCTTCACATATAAAATGCAAAAAACAATAGCAGTTATTTTATAGCTGGTTAAGTAAATTACTTAGAAATGTACCTGGTATAGAATAAGTAGGTTGTTGTATTCAGCAAATGAAAATAAAGGACACCTGTTAAATTCAAATTTCAAATAAACAACAAATAATTTTTAGTCTAAGTATGTACTATGTACTTTTACTTGAAAACCCTAAGAGTAAGCACTTAATATAGGTGGGGTTTTCTGTTTGTGTTTTGTTGTTCTTGTTGAGATGGGGTCTCACTATGTTACACAGACCGATCGCAAACTCCTGGGCTCAACCAGTCCTCCCACCTCAGCCTCTTGAGTAGCTGGGACTACAGGCATGCAGCTCTGCCCTTAGCTTAAATATGTTTGTTAAATAATGAGTAACTTTTGCATCTATATTTCCAGGGCACTGGAAATCTATTGCATCGTATTACAGTTAATGTTTCTGCACCTCTTTTCCTCAAATGAAGACTTCCTGAAGGGAGGAAACATATTTTCTTTATCCCTTTATCCTCTGACCTCCATACAATAGTAGCCATTTATAATTGTTTTATAAAACACAGAAGATGGGCAGAAAGGGTAGAGGAACTAATAAATGACATCCTATGATGTCGTCAATGCTTTTTTCCATCCTTCTTTCTGCTTGCCTCCTTAGAAGTTGCTACAAAAGATATATTTCTAGGAAAGGTTGAGGAGGGGAGAAGTCGACACTCATCACTCCTTACAGCAAGTCCTTGGCAAGTCAGTGTCCTGGTAGGACCAGTGGTGAATTAGGAATGATCTTCCACAGACATATTTAGGAATTTTTTTTGGTGGATGGAACTGAAAATTGTGACAAAATCATAATGAAGGAAATGTTGCTTTATAGTGTATCAATAAAGTATTTTAAGGAAATAGTGAAAAATGTATACGTGGAGGATGTACTCCTGCAGCGCTGTGACAGGCCCTGGTACTTCCTTCCTCATATCCATTTTTCCTTTCTTCCTTATTAGCCAAGTTCTGGTTTTGCTCAGGGTAGCAATTAGACCATCTAAAAACACTTATCTTCCTAGACTTGCATATGGCCACATGGCACAGTGGTAGATAATGAGATGCAAGCAAAAGTATACTGGATAGCACTGCCACAAAAGCTATTCTTTTCAAAATTAAAAAACAACAGCCTTCAGCCTTGGCTGGAAACCCCCCTGGCCTTTTTTCTTTCACACTTGATCCTTCTCCACTTAGACCTGCCTGGAACATGTCATGACTGACAAGAAGAAAATAGATAACCTATAACCTATAGGTTTATCTGCACAATTGTCTTCACAAGTAGACATATAAAAGAGATGTTGAGAATATTTAAAAACAACTATAACCCACATTCATTCACCAAAACTCGCATCTTCGACAGTAGTTAATAAGTGAAATCTTAACAGAAGAGTAAGAAAGAATGAAGTTACAATAACTGTAAACTCTACTGGAATATGTTTGAGGTAAAAATTGTTCTTGTTACTTACCAAAGAAACCCAGAACTTCCCTGGCTCTGAGTAAAATCCACAGAGGATGCGAGAGGGGGTTAATGGAACAAAGATTTCAGGTAATGGCTCTTCTTCCTCCTCCTCCTCCTCCTCTTCCTCTTCCTGAGATTCTTTCTCTCCATCTTCTCCCATCTCTGCTGCTAGCTTCTTCCTCCTTTCTTCCCTTATTTCCTCCTTCAACTTCTTTTGTTTCTCTCTCTTTTCAATTTCTATTAATCTCTTTTAAAAGAAATATTAAGTAGGTATAAAAACAACTATAGCTCATTCGTTCATTTACACCACTGGGGATGACAAAAAAAAAAAAAAAAAAAAACAGAAAGAAGGTACAGCTCCTAGAAAACTCACAGCTCTATTAATGGATAATGTTTAAAAATAGTCACCAATGGCCGGGCGCGGTGGCTCAAGCCTGTAATCCCAGCACTTTGGGAGGCCAAGGCGGGTGGATCACGAGGTCAAGAGATCGAGACCATCCTGGTCGAAATGGTAAAACCCCGACTCTACTTAAGATACAAAAAATTAGCTTGGCATGGTGGCGCGTGCCTGTAATCCCAGCTACTCAGGAGGCTGAGGCAGGAGAATTGCCTGAACCCAGGAGGCGGAGGTTGCGGTGAGCCGAGATCGCACCATTGCACTCCAGCCTGGGTAACAAGAGCGAAACTCCATCTCAAAAAAATAAAAAAAAAATAGTCACCAATATCAGAATATATTTTTATCATTAAAACTTGTAAATCATTGCAATGACTCATTTTTACCCCCATCAGTCTTGGTTCTATGGAAATGATTTGGTCATTTTTTTCCTAATAGAGAAGCTAAATACAGATTCTCTTAGAGACTCTCACTGGTGACCCAAGAAGTAGGTAGACTGAAACAGTCCACAAGGAAAGTTGCTTCCAACTTGAGGAATACTCTGACTTTTGGCCTTCATCATCTATCAACTGTCCTTTGCAAAAGCCTCTGACACTGGTGTTTCTACCTCCTCCTTTCTACCACTTCATTCTGCTCAACTCTCAGAATTATCTTCCTAACTTTATATCATCACATGAATCCCCTCCTAACACACTCGCAATGAATCCCAGTGGTCTAAGACGAAACGTCTCGGCTTGGCATTTAAGGAACCCCATGCATTGATCACAGACTCTTGCAACACTCCTCCACAAACTGCCTCCCTCTATTTTACTGATCTATTCCTCATTTCTTGAAAACATTCACAACTCTGCTTTCTCTTGGGATGTTCTTTCAATTTTTTTTTTTTTTTTTTTTTTGAGACGGAGTTTCGCTCTTGTTACCCAGGCTGGAGTGCAATGGCACGATCTCGGCTCACCGCAACCTCCGCCTCCTGGGTTCAGACAATTCTCCTGCCTCAGTCTCCCGAATAGCTGGGATTACAGGCACGCGCCACCATGCCCAGCTAATTTTTTGTAATTTTTAGTAGAGACGGGGTTTCACCATGTTGACCAGGATGGTCTCGATCTGTTGACCTCGTGATCCACCCGCCTCGGCCTCCCAAAGTGCTGGGATTACAGGCGTGAGCCATCGCGCCCGGCGTTCTTCCAACTTTTATTGCCATCGTCCTATTTTCAACTCTCAAAATTCCCCCTATTTTCTTTTCTTAAGACAGTGTCTCACTCTGTCACCTGGGCTGAAGTACAGTTGTGCAATCATAGCTCACTGCAGCCATAAACTCCCAGACTCAAGTGATCCTCCCATCCCAGCCTCCCAAAGTGCTGGGATTACAGGCATGAGCCAATGTGCCCGGCCCCTCCTATTCTTTGGGTACTAAATGTCACCTCCCTCCAGTCATCTTTGACCTCTTCCCATCCCTCTATCAGAATCCTCTCTCCTTTCCTCTGCATGCCTCTAAAATTTCCTTCTGCACATTTAGATTTCAGTATCTATTCACTACTGCCTTCTAACAGCTGTTTTCCTGCCAGGGTATAAACTCCTTCACTTCACGGCCTATGTTTTATTCTTTTCTGTATTCCCTTAGCACTTAACACAGGATATTTTATATTCCAAGGAAAGGGAACTATTAGAAGATAATTCTTCAGGAATATTTCATACCAGAATCTTAGATTTGACACTTGAGAAATGAAAGCATTTTATGCACATGTCTTTGATTTCATAGGAAACTACATCACGATCATCTACTTCTTGCTTTACAGTTGGAAGTGGAGCTTCAAGAATATAGCCATTTTCACAGAAAATTAGTAAAGTACTTTCAGGCTGAAAAAGAAAAAATAAACATTTTTACATTTAAGCAAATTTTTAAAAGCATAGTTTAAAAAGATTATAAATTAAAATTTATAATTATATTAGCCATATTTAAAACACAATTCAGTTATTGGTAAAAAGTCAAGTTTATTAATAATTATTATATAGTCCTAAGTACCAATTATTGTTTTTCATTATTAATTAATGATGTAATTATTGGATTTACATTCAGTTCCTCCATAGATGCCATAACATATGTGATTCATATATGTTTTCTGATTTTCTGTTCAATATATGTAGTTGTGAAATCTGTTAGCCTACGGGGTCAAGTATTAAAATTAGGACTGCCTAGGAAAGTGTGCGTGTGTGGGTGGCATAGTCAGTCTCTGTTTACCTGTGTGCGTGTGCGGGTGGCATAGTCTGTCTCAGTTTACTTGTGTGCGTGTGTGGACGATGTAGTCAGTCTCTGTTTACTTGTGTGCGTGTGGACGGTGTAGTCAGTCTCTGTTTACCTGTGTGCGTGTGTGGGTGGCATAGTCTGTCTCAGTTTACTTGTGTGCGTGTGTGGACGGCGTAGTCAGTCTCTGTTTACTTGTGTGCGTGTGGACGGTGTAGTCAGTCTCTGTTTTCTTTCATGGCTCATCCTCTATCTGCTTCGGTTCAGCAAATGTGGATGTTCCCAAGGCTTTTGTCCTCTTCCCTCTTCTCTCTCTCTCCATAAGCATTTTCTGGGAAATCTTACAGCCTTTATTACCACTTACATGCAATTAAATTTTAAATTAATCTCTACAGCCCAGACCTCTCTCTTGGCTCCAAAACCATGTATTTAATCATGAGTGGGAAATCCCCATCTTTATATTTACAGATACATTATTTGAAATGTTTATTCATTTGGTTATTTCATTCTACAATTATTTGTTGTATATCTACTAATAAAAGACCAATCCAGGGGAGGACTCAAGATGGCGCTGTGAGAACAACCCAGGATTGGAGCTCTCGTTGAATCCACAAAGAGGTGAATCCGAGCTGCATTTCCAGACTGATCTTTGTTGCCCACAGAACGGGGAAACTCCCAAGTATAAAAAAGACACGGGACGCCAGACAGACTTACTGCCTGGCGAAGCCGGCAGCCGGGGCGCGGCAGCGGCCAGCCCTACCCAGCAATCCCCACAGGGCGTGCTTGCCCGGGTGCCCTGTTGAACCGGCAACCTGAGACTTGAGAGGGCTGGACTTGAGACTGAACGAGACTTGGACAGTAGCCCAGCCCAGGGGATTGCAGGGACAGAGCGTTCGGGATACCCAGTGGGACAAACAAAACCGCGATTTCAAACTATCCCGAGCAGACTGTCCGAGACGCTCTATGGTGGAGGGGTGTCCACCACTACTGAGGCAACCCGCCCCAACTGAGACACACGCCCACTGCTGACACAGCTAGCCGTTGCCGAGGCAACCCGTCCCTACTGAGATACACGCCCACTGCTGACGCAGCCAGCCGTTGCCGAGGCAACCCGTCCCTACTGAGATACACGCCCACTGCTGACGCAGCCTCCCATTGCCGAGGTAACCCGTCCCTACTGAGATACACGCCCACTGCTGACGCAGCCTGCCGTTGCCGAGGCAACACGCTACAAGGAAGAGACTCTGCCGCAGGGCATGGCGGAGACCACAGCAGAGCCTGCAGGAACAGGGCAAATCACACAACAGCAGGGCGAAGACTCGGCAGCCAAACAGTGGCTAGTCTGCCTTCTAGCTGGGCAAGACACCTGATCGGACATCCAAAAATAAAGCCCAAACCCCTCAACACAGAGCATTTGAGAAAAAAAGGGTTTTTTAAATGAGCTCTGTTGCAGCAGAATCAAACATAGCAGCCTAACAGCCCTGAATGAACAACAGAGCTCACAGCTCAGAAATTGAGCTCCTAAAAAGAACAGACTGTCTCCTCAAGCAGCTCCCTGACCCCTCTATATCCAAAAGACTGACATTTGGCAGGCATCATCCTGGGACAAAGATAGCAGAAAAAGAAACTGGTAGCATCCCTCGCTGTGCCACAGCTGCTAGAGGTGCACCCCAGACAAGTAGGGCCTGGAGTGGACCTCAGCAGTCGTACAGCGAAGGGGCTAGGCTGGTAGAAGGAAAACCAAGTAACAGAAATACTTCATCATCAACAATCTGGGTGTCCACTCAGAGACCCAATCAAAAAGTCAGCAACTACGCAGACGACAAGCGGATAAACCCACAAAGATGGGAAGAAACCAGCGAAAAAAGGAGGAAAACACCCGAAACCAGAACACCTCGCCTCCTAGAAAGGACCAAAACTCCTCACCAGCAAGGGAACAAAGCTGGACGGAGAATGACTGTGACGAAATGACGGAATTAGACTTCAGAAGGTGGATAATGAGAAACTTCTGTGAGCTAAAAGAACATGTATTAAATCAATGCAAAGAAACTAAGGAACTTAAAAAAAGATATGAGGAAATGATAACAAGAATGGATAACTTAGAGAGGAATATGAATGAATTAAAGGAGCTGAAAAACACAATACGAGAACTTTGCGAAGCATGCACAAATTTCAATAGCCGAATTGACCAAGCAGAAGAAAGAATATCTGAAGTCGAAGACCAACTCAATGAAATTAAACGAGAAACCAAGATTAGAGAAAAAAGCACAAAAAGAAATGAACAAAGTCTCCAAGAAATGTTGGACTATGTGAAAAGACCTAAGCTACGTTTGATAGGTGTACCAGAAGGGGATGAAGAGAATGAATCCAAGCTGGAAAATACTCTTCAGGACATCATCCAGGAAAACTTCCCCCACCTAGCAAGACAGGCCAACACTCAAATGCAGGAAATTCAGAGAACACCACAAAGATATTCTGCAAGAAGAGCAACCCCAAGGCACATAATCGTCAGATTCAACAAGGTTGAAATAAAGGAGAAAATACTAAGGGCAGCCAGAGAGAAAGGTCGAGTTACCCACAAAGGGAAGCCCATCAGACTCACAGCAGATCTCTCGGCAGAAACACTACAAGCCAGAAGAGAGTGGGGGCCAATGTTCAACATTCTTAAAGAAAAGAACTTTCAACCCAGAATTTCATATCCAGCCAAACTGAGTTTCAGAAGTGAAGGAAAAATAAAATCCTTTGCGAACAAGCAAGTACTCAGAGATTTTGTCACCACCAGGCCTGCTTTACAAGAGCTCCTAAAAGAGGCACTACACATAGAAAGGATCAACCAGTACCAGCCATTCCAAAATCACACTAAATGCTAAAGAGCATCAACATAATGAAGAATCTACAACAACTAACAGGCAAGACAGCCACTTAGCATCAAAATGGCAGTATCAAATTCACACATAACAATATTAACCCTAAATGTAAATGGACTAAATGCACCAATCAAAAGACACAGACTGGCAAATTGGATAAAAATCCAAAACCCAGCAGTGTGCTGTATCCAGGAAACCCATCTCACATGCAAGGATACACAAAGGCTCAAAATAAAGGGATGGAGGAAGATTTACCAAGCAAATGGAGAGCAAAAAAAAGCAGGAGTTGCAATTCTCATCTCTGATAAAATAGACTTTAAAGCAACAAAGATCAAAAGAGACAAAGAAGGCCATTACATAATGGTAAAAGGATCAATAAAACAAGAAGAGCTAACGATCCTAAACATATATGGACCCAATGCAGGAGCACCCAGATACATAAGGCAAGTTCTCAATGACTTACAAAGAGACTTAGACTCCCACACAATAATAGTGGGAGACTTTAACACTCCACTGTCAATATTACACAGATCAACCAGACAGAAAATCAACAAGGATATCCACGGCTTGAACTCAGACCTGGAGCAAGCAAACCTGATAGACATTTACAGAACTCTCCACCCCAAATCCACAGAATATACATTCTTCTCAGCACCACATCACACCTACTCAAAAATTGACCACATAATTGGAAGTAAAGCACTGCTCAACAAATGCAAAACAACTGAAATCATAACAAACAGCCTCTCAGACCATAGTGCAATCAAGTTAGAACTCAGAATACAGAAACCGACCCAGAACCACACAGCTTCATGGAAACTGAACAACTGGCTCTTGAATGTTGACTGGGTAAACAATGAAATGAAGTCAGGAATAAAGATGTTCTTTGAAACCAATGAGAATGAAGACACAACGTGCCAGAACCTCTGGGACACATTTAAAGCAGTCTCTAGAGGAAAGTATATAGCAATAAGTGCCCATATGAGGAGAATGGAGAGATCCAAAATTGACACCCTATCGTGAAAATTGAAAGAGCTAGAGGAGCAAGATCAAAAAAACTCAAAACCCAGCAGAAGACAAGAAATAACTAAGATCAGAGCTGAACTGAAGGAGATTGAGACACGAAAAACCCTTCAAAAAATCAATAAATCCAAGAGCTGGTTTTTTGAAAAGATCAACAAAATAGACAGACCACTAGCCAGATTGATTAAAAAGAAAAGAGAGAACAACCAAATAGATGCAATAAAAAATGATAAAGGGGAAATCACCACAGATTCCACAGAAATTCAAACCATCATCAGAGAATATTACAAACAACTCTATGCACATAAACTAGTAAACCTGGAAGAAATGGATAAATTCCTGGACTCCTGCATCCTCCCAAGCCTAAACCAGGAGGAAGCTGAAACTATGAATAGACCAATAACAGGGTCAGAAGTCGAGGCAGCAATTAAGAGCCTACCACACAAAAAAAGCCCAGGTCCAGATGGGTTCACAGCCAAATTCTACCAGACACACAAAGAGGAGCTGGTACCATTCCTTCTAAAACTATTTCAAACAATCCAAAAAGAGGGAATACTTCCCAAATCATTTTATGAGACCAACATCATTCTGATACCAAAACCCGGCAGAGACCCAACAAGAAAAGAAAACTTCAGGCCAATATCCATGATGAACACAGATGCAAAAATATTCAATAAAATATTGGCAAGCCGAATGCAACAGCAAATCAAAAAACTTATTCACCA